TACCTCAAATTCATCTCTGTAGCATTCTGTTTATATCATTACATAATCTTTCTTCACTACCCGCTTTTGTTCCTATCCAGATTGCTTTAATTTTATCAATATTTATCTTAAGACCCGACATATTGTAAAAGGTGTTCAATGTATTGATAGCAGCATACAGGCCAACCTCTGAGCCATCAAGAAATAATTCTGTGTCATCAGCATATTGTCGAAGATTATATTCTTTATCATCCATAGTAATTCCTTTTACGTCTTTATTTGCTCTTTCCATACAACCTAAAATTTCAGCTACAAAGAGAAATAGGTAAGGGGATATGGGGTCTCCTTGTCTGCAACCATATTTTGTCTTAATTGATGTGCTGACATATCTGGTTAAACACAGTAACATATTACACTCGATCTTGTTTCAAATCAACTGATGTATCTTATGGTATCTAAAGGATATATCACAAAAAAATAGTTCTACAGACTTGCTTTTTCATATCGTGTCATACCACTTCACAACTGCTGATACTTGTAATTGATAGGGAAGTGGGGTAAAGAGGGTGTGTGACCTTTTGTATGTGTTTTAGATTTCCGTGATTACATGTTGACTGGTTATTAAAGCAAAAATAATAATGGTTTGCATATCGTGTTTGTGATTCCTATGTTAGGCTTTTGGATGGACACATTGGAAAATAAAATAGTCAAGGGACTGCGGGACAGGCTATTGCCACACCTCTGTCTGCCACTAGACTTATCTTCCATCCGGAGGGGAGGGGTGTAGGAAAATGGGGGCGGGAGGGAAAGTGACTCCCGAACTGTTTACAAACTGTCGATTTAATTTATGTTTGAAGGTCGGCTCAACATTTGGTTTGTATAGTAAAAGATGAGTATATTCCATGTATTCCCATTCCAAATTCCATTCCATCATTCCAATCCAAACTCCATTCCAAAAATCATTTCATATTTTACACTAAAAGAAATGGGATTATTCCATTTGACTTTGATCACAAACAATGTACTTTTTAACTGTCTTTAAAATATGTGTCTTAAGGTTAAATGGTTTGTTGTATTCATGAATGCATGTGGCGAACTAAAATAGGAAAAAGGGATATGAAAGAAATCACTCTCCAAATTACGTAAGCGGGAAAGGAGAGTATATAATACGCAAAGGCAAAGTCTTGTGACACACAAACAACACGGAAAAGTGGTTGACATATGGCATGGAAATAACAAAAAAAGCAGAACACGGCCGTCCCGTAAGAAGTAACAGGCAATTTGCAGAGCGCACATGTTATAAACAAACGAGTTATGTGATATGCAAGTTTCAGGGGCACGTTCACACAGTCTGTGGAAAGGGGGTCGCTCTTGTACACAGCTGAGCAAGGATAAGCCAGAGTCCCCACTGTGTTGTAGAGCGAGTTTCCATGGCGCGTTGTGTGGAGGGATCTGGATGGCATATATCGGTTGAGGGGGAGGGGAAAGGAAAAAAATGTTAGAGTCTGTTTAAATTGATGCCGTTCCTTTTTTTCCCCATTTTCTTAGACTGGTAATGGTAACGGACTGGATATGTGGTCTCTTGAAGAACGGCTAAAACACTTTCTACCGAACATTTTTCACCTTTGGTTGGTTTGCTATACTTGAACATAAACATTTTCCCTGGTTCTATACAAATCGTAATGCGATATGTTTGTAAGGGGAAAACATCGGCTCACAAGAACCTTACCTTTGAGCATGCATGCATGATACAAACGAAACAATGCTCAAATACTAATACTACAATATGTAATATGTGCAAAACGTTCAAGTGTGGAATTAGTGAATCAATAGCTTAAATAGACACAGCTTCAGATTTTAAATGTCATAGTTAAAAAGGCCGGGGTGCAATGCAAAAATCCCATTGGCCACACCTCAAAAGTGGAGAAGTCATCTTCCCATGAGTCTTAGGACTATGGGTGCCTGGCAAGAGCCTGGTGATGTCGAAGGTTAACCTTGGAATTTACTACTAGAATATAGCATATGCCCAACAACCCTTTCAATGCATGTAATGATGACTAAAGAGATTAGCATATTTGAAATTTCAATTTTGACTTCAATATGGTGATGTGTGCATCAAATAAGTGTACAACCCCAACCCTAACCCTGCACAGCATGCATATGCTGTGAAACCCTGACTGAAACTTTTCCTCCACTCACAGGCCCGTCTCTATGGATACGCACCTCCTCTTGCCACCTTACTGATACAGTGGGAAATGCAAACATGGATTTAAAAAGACTGTCTGCATTCATACGTTTTGCCGTGAGTCTTCATAACATACTTGTCACAATGGTCCCTATAGTACTGTCGGAAATACACAAAAAACTGTATTTTCTCATTTATCTCTACAATTTATGTAGTTGATATGTGAAAGTGTGAAATATCTGTTAAACTAAGTTCGGCCTAACTACAGTCTCGGTGGTAGAGAGATAGGAAACGGAGAAAAAGGACTTTACGGAGGGGAAATTAGTGCAGAAATGAGCGATGCGGTTCTTTTCTAAGTCCAAAAAGACTTATTTGGAACAGACCTTGGCTTTATGCAAATTAGTGTGCGACGATATTGTATTACAAAGGAAACTTTTTAAGTGCCCAATTTGAAATTAGACGTAGATTCATTATAAACGATAGCTGACGTAACAAATAATAACTTTTATGCCGAAACTATTAAGGATGTAGCTACCACGTAGTCTCACTGTCACTATAAAAAGAAACAGATAGGAGGGGTCGCCTCAAAAGCAAAACCTGGGGTCGGGCTTGGGGATAGAGATACCAGCTAAGATAAGATAATCCTTAAGGCCATCTCTACTGGGGAGGTACACGGCACGTCATAACAATTTACAAATAATATCCAGTCCTGTCGATCTTCGGGTGGTCATGCCACCTATATACTACGATGCGTTTCTATGGTTTTCGGGTATCATACTCTCTTACATATCTCAACATAAACTTTATGAAAGAAAGACACGTAAGATGTTAATCAGTAGATGAGACATAGTCAACACACATGAAAAAGCACAAAATATCTTTGAGATGACCCCTTGTGCCTGTAGGCAGCACCTGCATTTCATGCCAGGTGAGTCGACGGTCCGTCGTCATACCTGGCTGAGCGACCTAATTATCATCAATAGTCTGATCTATTGTTTGCAGCAGCGTTTTGCCCGATTTTACGAGTAAACATGCTTTTCTGGCTATCGTATTACGCATCCCCCTGAACGCCCAGTTAGACCGAAGTGGGTTATTTCGACATATGCTATTTGCAATTGTGTCAATTTTAGGGATACAGAGTAAGAGCCTAAAACCAGTTTTTTTCTATTTCCGACAGTACTATAGTATGGTGATCTACCTTCAGTCGTTGGCGACCTATAGCCTGTTTTTATATTGTATTGTCCTAGTTTGAAATCCAATTGCAGAGAGAAATGCTATTTCTAATTCTGGATTCTGTGATATTATAGTTGGTTTTATTGTCCTTCGTTGACAGGTTTTTGATAATTTAATTGCGTTTATTATGACTTTATAAATTTTAAAGTCAGGATATGGGTGAAATATTGCCATTGTGACTATAAATTTTAACTCACTCACTCACTCACTCACTCGTAACATACTTCTTCAAACTATGGCTTAATATCATCATGAACCGGAAGTAATTTTTTGTGATATTTAACGGAATGTATTTGAATACTGCTTTGCTTTGCACCGTAAGACAGCTTTGACCAGGCCACGTGGCCACAACTCATGTGTGTATGGGTTTGAACCCTTTAAGGTTCTGATTTTAATCATAAAATTATTGTCCTCCTGAGAGGGTACGTAAGTCCCAACATTTTACAAAATCAATTTAAACTTAACAGGATTTTAAACGTAGTATTCTTGTTATTTTAATTTTGGCTAACATTTCTTACAATCGCCAGCAGCTGAAGGGATGGTGTAAATCCAACTGTAAGTCCCCATGATCCCTAGTATGGTGATCTACCTTCTGTTGTTGCGCGATATATATATGTTGCGATGTACCGTCTGCAACATGAGAAGCCTCAGCTAGCTCGTCAGCGGGCATGAGTGAGTGAGTTAAAGCTTAACGTCACATCGGCAATCAGCAGGCATGAGGATGCAGTAACTGAAAGGAAACTGTGTGATTTATGCTTGCACAAAGCAGCCGTCTCAATATAGCGTATAATATGTATATGTGAATGAAGATAATCCCATCTGCAAATACCCTGTATGATTGGCTTACAATACCCGGATGTTCGATTATACAATTCTGACCATATAATAACTGCTTGTATCTTCGTTTGTTTGCTGAAGAGCGTATTCAGCATTATTCCAGCTAAATGATGACGATCTCTAAACAATCGAGTCGGAACCAGGCAATCCAGTGATTGACATCATTAGATGCAGTGACAAGGCATTGTTATGAATTCTGTATCAAATAGTAATGATACCAGATGTTCGCAAACGTTTGAGCGTATCCTGCCCCACCGGAAGTAGTAGTCCTGAACATATACACAATTTAGTCAGTAGTGGACCTGGAGAAAATTGGGAACTGATGGTACAAGTTAGGATAGTGAATTGCATCGGACATTATTTTTGTCACTGATCCATCAAAATTTAAACTGTCCTTCACATGTCTACCATAAACCTTTAAAGCTGTACTTGGGCCTTAAATTATGTTACCTTGATCAATCAACTTCCGAACAAGCGTGGTATGACGCTCTTTGAAATCTTAGTATGATTTATGATCGATGTAAGGAATGAATTCGACCCCTCCTTAGACTGGAATGAGACTGAATCCAATGGTGCACTGCCAGTTATAGTTACAACAGAAGCCAGCTCCGTTCCTTCTGTCTTTTCTTGCAATCGCGACATACACGTTGAAGGTGGAAACGTATATAATTTGCAGCCTCATTGTATTGTAATCCTATATATAAAGACATCTTTGAAGCAAGTCTCGTGAAACAACCATATGTGGTATTAAAACAACTAGCTGCAATTACGACTGATAACAGGTTTTTATTTAGATTAGACCACTACCACTTGATCTGTAGGTAAATACTTAAGTTACACATGACAACAGTAATCAATCAAAATTACTTGAAGGACTACAGAAGCTTCATCATCCACTCCATCTCCCAGTCGAATATTTTCTGTCGAGCCTCATTCCTGTGTTGACTCCTTGCAAGGCTTCTCTTCCTCCGGGAGTGACTCAGCTGGTGAAATGTGAAGGGTGATATTGCGAATCTGCTGTGATCGGAACACGTGTCACCTGCCCACACGTCCAGGTTGCGCTGCACGTCAGCCTTTATCAGATCAATGTCAAGGTCATCATAGACATGGAACTCGACTCCAGATACGTTCTTGCTGTAGACCATGAGAACCTTCGAAAGAAATAACATTGAGAAATCGTCCAATTAACCGTGCAGTATGTGAGACACTTCACTATGCGTGGTTACAGGGAGTATTTTGATATTTAATCTCCTTTCTGGCACATCCTGGAACAACCGAGGTTTAATTGGCAACAGGGCATGACAGTTACTTTGCATAACATTTTACAAACAGCTAATATCATATACGTCTTTTGGAACTACATTTGATAAATATATCAGTTGATGATGACACTAGTTTTCTTTGAAGACTGTTGTTCCTAATGAGAAGTCTTGACGCCAAATAATACAAAAACGCCTACTATAAAAACCTTCAGGCATGAAACCTTCAGCTCAAATTATATTTATCTGTACGTGGACGCACATAATTCGGTCATGACCAATAATTGTTACTAGTTTCAGCGTTCTTGTAGTGAATATTAGAATTACAAAATGCATACCATATATTTCTTTGTGCGAACTTTGCCATCTGTTAATTTGTGATAAATGTGTTTTATAATGCTGCCTAATCGGGATTACCTTCAGAATTCCTTTCAAGCTCTTAATATCTTCCTGGTGATCTACGAAGATTCGAACCCTGCCCGCGGCCCTGTAGGCCATCTCCTGCTCAACCAGTTCCATCAATGGCATCGGATTCTTCTCGGAGCTGAACATCAAGACCTCAATACTGCCTGAAGGCTCTGTTGGATAACGTGACGTCATCAACGGCACTGGAACCAAGTGATATCACAAGTTGGCTAATGATGTATAAATCTTTGAAGCAATAAAGTTCCCACGGAGAACAAATTTAAGGCATAAATCATTGAATTATATTTTTAGACGTGGGTTCATTTAAGGAAATTGTTTCCAAATGAAACAAAAAGAAATTTGTTCATCCCAACACAATGCGGTATTACGTATGGTGATGTTATTTTTCATCACAATAGGGACGGCTTCCACTTCAAGGCCTTACTACAGGTACTATGCTAAAGGTTTTACAGTAGGCATGAGAAAGACGTCTTCCGTTTATTATGTTGGGTGAACAATAGATTTGCCTTTGCGTCCTTTTGTATTTTGGTAGAATACCTGGTGCCATCACTGTCTGGTACTGAATCAGAAACATATGCTCACCAAATGGTTGGAATAAAAAATCGAGATTTCTATAATTATTGACTGTGTTCTAGCATACATAAACAGAAATTTGGTAAAATGATATCTCACTTAGCAAAGAGTACAGCTGAATGTTTTCAACACAGATGTTGCCATCATGACAGGCGAGGGAGTGGACGCTGGACTCTGCCGTCTCGGTATCAAAGAAGGTCGCCCGGTCTGTCAGATCAGGGAACGCTCTGGTTGCTCGGTTGATGAACTTGTCCACAACCACAGAACACGCTTTCACTTTGTCATCCCACAGATGACCTGGAAAGCACGCGTGTGGCAAATATTTAGTTTATCAGAACAAACTACCCAAGGAGTTTTTAGAAACAAGACAAGTTTTTTCAAGCCTGTAAATGTGAAAACAACCACAAAGCTAAATGTTATTGAGTTGACGAGAAACAAATAACATGCTAAGTTGTAAGAAATATATGTTAGTAAAGAAAATATAACTTCATCACATTACGATTTCTGCAGCTGCAATGCAAGAAAACTACTACTTTTATTTTATCTCAACCCATTCTCTCGATCATGGTAACTGAGGTATCACGTATACGAAATCATTCGTATTGAATAAAACCACAGTATCTCCTGTACTTTTGTGGTTTGTACCTTTTGTTGTAAAACATACAACATGTTACCTGTCGCCGGACATCCTCCGCACAATTCAACAATACATTTCTGTATGTCCGGATTGAGGTCCACTCTGGGCAGACGACCAAATCCAGCAGCTGAAGTCATCCGCTCCTGCAACGTTCTAGCCTCCTCCTTGCGGAATGGTAAGGTTTGTTTGCAGAATGCTGGCTGCTCAGTCGTGGAACATAGCCTGAAGAAACATTCAAACGGCATTTAACACTCTGAAGCCGACCTTTAACATATAAACAAACACTAGATATGCATTTAATCTCAGCACACTTACTCGTTATACAGTTGTCTCAGAAGCATTATTTTTCAAGAGGTCGAATCTCGGATAGACTTTGATGCTTTCACACTGAGCTGATACAACTAACAATTAACAACAAAATGTAAAGACCTCCTTTCCAAACTGTTGCTAGAATTTTGAATCCAAAGGCGAATTTGTATTACATGAACAGTATTTCTAATATGATATGATCAATAGCTCTTGAGATAATTCTTGAGTCTTACATACCCATTTTGATGAAACTGGAAGGTAAGGTATTGTTTCACTCTACCTAGAGGATGAATGTCACAGATCCCTTTGTCAAAAGGATGAATAACAGGACCACCTTAAAAATGGTTTGAAAATATTAATTATACAACATCAAATGATATCATTATAATATTCGGAAATATAAAACGTCAGTGTAAAAACACCCAGTGTTGACCATCCATAAAATCCATTTAATTTGTGGTAAAAGGGCAAAATGGCTTTGAAAATTATAAGAATGGACGACTAAACATCAGTAATGACACCGTGTGTTCGCCAAGAGGGGACACACGCCCTGCCCTAAGTTCACTTTTAGACCTGTTGTTGGTGTAAATTTGTAACGTGGTACCATGACAGAATCATCATATCTCACAGTAGTTATATCTTTATCTCACCCTGAAGTAACTCCTCTTGTATGTCCAATATCTGTCTGAAGTAGGTAGTGTTCCAAGTGTTCCACAGCGTGATGTAGTTCAGTTCATTCCCATGTTGAAGAGGCCTGATATCCACATACAATTCATCTTGGTGACACCCTACACCCAAACCCCTCATCTGCTGTCTTAGAAAGGGCGTACAGCATCTGAACAACGTCTTAGCCAAATACACGAATTCGGAATTATGTCGATATCGAGGTGGCCTCAACTCAACGGCCTGTCCTGTTTGGAATCTATACATTTCCTCCACATGCCTAATGTCAAAATTCACCATGTTTACGGACTGCGTACGGTACCCAGAGCCTTTACAATTTCTACTTTATCGCCATATTCCTCGGAAATTAGATCAAGACACATGAGCAGTGATGAGTCAACCCTCAAATAATGTCTATTTGGACAGCTCATATCTTGGATGGTGTAATATTCGGAGAGATAGGTGTCTTTATCAAAGCCGGGAAACAGGTTTGGCAATATTGCTTCATGTTCTAGAGATTCAGGGTACATGTATTCTGTTTGTTCATTTGGAGGAGGGCCAACAGCAAGCCTAGCAATGTCGTCATGAGAAAACTCTACCCGTATTCCAATGAAATCTTCCTGACTCTTGACAAACACTTCGATAAATTGGGGGCTTGAAAAATTCATGAAATCAAAACCAGAGCATGCAGCCAAAACTGCCAATCTATTTAAACTTGAAATCGGCGAACTTGTGAGACACAGCCCTCTGAAAATATGTTACATATCACTGTTTAATGACAGAGTCATCGCAAATATGTTTACATTTTAAAAATTTATCAATGTACTAATTGTTGGTGTATTTTGGTCAGAAGTTGCAAGCTCAGAGGCGTGTAACCATTTTGGTCCAGCTTGGTGAAAACTGGTCTCATATGACATCTGAGGTCATGCGTGATTTTCATGTTTCTGTTTAGGAAGTTTTCCTAACTATTCACATAAATGTAGAAATAATACTTTACGAACCCTGTAAACTACCTATTATTTCAACATCATATTGGGTACCACACCTTCCTAGTTTTCAAATAAAATGGCTCACGATCTCTACTGTCAACCGATATGCTGAAATAGATGAATGGTTATGGTCTTTGGTGAACACGTGAGATCTCGCTCGTGATGTTCCTGCAAATTGTATACTTCTGAGAAGTTAAACACATTCCTGGAAAACAAATAATTAGTACCTTCCTTCTCTGTAGTGCAGTGGCATGTCTGATTGCTCGGTAAAGGCCCTTTCAACGTTCACGTCTGCAATGAAATGTACACACAGGTCTTAGACAGCATTATTCAATTGATGGTTTGCGGGTTGTGGGTTGCTACAACCGACCAGATGACCTTCGATGTGTTTATTGTTTTACCCGCTTTGTTTCCATTTTTACTATGTTAAACATCATTATCTCCTTTTTGATAACCAAATGTGCTCCAACAAAACCTTTAATATGCTTCTGTAGATATTACTATGTACCTTGCTGCAATCCATTATGTCCATTTTGTATATCATTGACAATGGTTGATAAACAAAAAATTATATCACAAAACTTACAACTTAAACGTTAACAATTGATTACATTTCTAAAACGTGAAAAAGCATATATCTATTGCCTACAAGATGTTCATTTCACTGAAAATATGGAAAAGACAATACAGGAAGAATGGGGAAGTAAGAACTGCTTTTTCAGTTTTTTTAAGAGTAATTCTCGTGCGGTAGCAATCCTATGCTCTAAATGGCTTGACTTCGAGCTTCAGGGGGTAACCACAGATGAAGAAGGTAATGTGATAATAACTGAAATGACACTCGACTGATATAAACTTACTATTGGTAACCTCTATGGTCCAAACAATGACGATGCAGACTTTATATATCTCTTGCGCAGAAAATCAAAAACTTCCATAGTGACCATGTGATCTTATGTGGACATTGGAATGTTGTACAAGAATTCTCTACTGACACCTTTAATTATAAACATAAGAATAACCCTAAAGCTAGAGACCAGATTTTACAACTAAAAAAGATCTAGATTTCTTTGATCCCTGGCGTCAAATGAACCCTATGACCGGCGATAAACCTGACGACAACCCACTCCACTTACACAAGCGCGCTTAGATTACTTTCTCGTATTTCATAATATGCTACCCTCATTTACAGAATCAGTAATAGAACAAGGTTTCAAAACAGACCACTCCTTGATATCGGTGACATTCAAACTTTCAGATTTATCACGCGGCAAAGGGTTTTGGAAGTTTAATAATTCTCTATTTAGAGACCACATCTATGTCAAGAAAGTGAAGAATGTTATTTCTGAAACCGTTGCTCAGTATAATGTAGACACAGATAGATATAGCATTGACGACCAAATTCTTTTCGAAACTATTTTATTGATGATCAGAGGAGAAACCATTAAGTACTCTTCATTCCAGAAAAAGGAAAGAATTAAAAAGGAAAAACATCTCTCTGACAATCTAAATGAAAAAGAAATTCAACTTGATGAATCAGATAATGAAACCGTTAAAAAGGAAATAATAACTGAAATATAGGCTATTCAACAGGAACTTGAAGAAATATATGTAACTAGAACCCAATGTTCAATTCTTAGATCCAAAGCAAAATTTGGCGTCCAATATCACTATTATCAGTATTCTATAAAGTTGCTTCAATGGCAATTTCAAAACGAATTAAATCCGTTTTGGACACATTGATAAACGAGGACCATAAAGGCTTTATGTCTGGTAGATGAATAAATGATATCACCAGGCAGATCTATGACTTGATTGAATATACTGACACATACCAAATCCCCGGACTTCTATTATTAATAGATTTTGAAAAGGCCTTCGATATTGTTGATTGGTCATTTATTGATAAAACTTGTATCTTTTTTAATTTTGGAGAATCAATTAAAAATTGGATTAAGGTTTTCTAAAATAATATTAAATCAAGTGTACTTGTAAATGGTTTTGGCTCAAATAGCTTTGAAATATACAGGGGCTGTCGTCAAGGTGATGCGCTATCACCATATATTTTTTATACTTTGTGTTGAAATTCTCGCAATAATGATACGTAATAATGTAGAAGTGAAAGGAATTCATGTAGAATATCTTCTAAATCAGTTCGCTGATGATACTACCTGCTCCCTAGATGGATCAGAACGCGTTTTACAAGCAGTGCTTCAAATCTTAACTTTCTTTGCCCGCTTTTAAGGATTGAAAGGGAACATAGACAAAACTAGAATTATTTGGATTGGTTGAGAGAAACGTTCAAGAATGAAACTTTGTCGGAAATGGAATCTAAACTGGGAACAAAGTAATTTTGAACTACTGGGAATAAAATTAGACATGGATATTAAAGATATGATTGATTTGAACTACAACAAGCTAATAGAATGTGAAACCCTCATATCAATATGGTCAACTCGAACCCTAACCCCTTTGGGCAGAACCACTGTGTTGAAATCTCTTATCCTCCCAAAATGAAACCATTTGTTTGCGTCTCTGCCAAATCCTCCGGACAAATTGATTGAGGGATTTCGAGGTAGATGTTTTCGATTTATATGGGGAAACGAGCCCGATAAAGTCAAACGTGACCAACTGATATGCACTGTTAAAGATGGTGGTCTAAATGCACCTAATATAAAAGAAATAATGCAAGCTCAAAAGATTTCTGTCTTAAGACGATTTTATAATAACCACACCAAATGGTTTAATTATTTTTCTGAAAATCTACCTAAACTGGGGTCTGCAACTATTTTTGAATATAATTGTGCAAATCTAAGAAAAGTTATCATTCCACTTGTTCGCAACAACTTCTACTGTGATCTTCTGAATGCCTGGTGGGATTTACTATCTAGACATGGGGCAGCAGATTCACCAAATATCACCTCTCAATATATCTGGTATAATCAAAACATCTTAATCGATAGGAAATCTATATTCTATCGAAACTGGAATGCAAAAGGTGTAATATTTATAGATGATCTTCTGAATGACTCTGGAAAATTCATGTCTCTTGATATCTTTGAAAATAAATACAACGTTAAAATGTTTCTAGAATATTCAGTATATTAACTCACTCAAAGCATTCCTCAAAAGAAGTAATATCAACTTAGAAACCATCAGGAAAACACAAAACCCTTTGCAACCATATATGTTAAACTTTTTGATTAGACAAAAACAATGAAGGCAAATATACAGGGCTTTACTTGACACGTTTAATGTCTGGACGTTATATTGGAAGCTTTACTAGAAACAAAATCAATAAAAAATCAACATGTGTAAAATGGAAAAGGATACTAGAGAATGAAATCGATGGAAACTATTGGCAACAATATACCCATATCCCGTTCCGCTGTAGTTCCAATACAAACTCCTGCACCATCTTTTACCAACAATTATAGCTAAAACACATGGAATTAGCATGAAACGGCCCTCCCATTATCAGAAATATGCGGGCCGCTGCAAATGATATTGGACCGCTCAACCTTAACGACGGGCCACTATCAGTTCTGTTGTCAAGTGACGTCATAGTGGGTGCGTCGGTTCATTCGACTTTGGCTTTGGACTGGCAGATATTCTGGGGCAAACAAGACAAAGCAATCCGAATTCCCGCTTTAAATAGCGGTATTATTGGCTTTCTTGCTGGTGCTAACCTTAACAATTGCACTATTAACGTTGTTGTTGTTGGACCAAAACCGAACACTGACAACTGACGTGTCTGACATAGTTTGACATGCTGCAAGCCATGGTCTTGTCAAAGGCCAAGGTCGAATATCGTCACGTTCTGTTGTGACGTCACTTGAATTGTTCGATGACGTAATTGCATTCGGGCAGTCAACCCCGTCAGAAGTTGGTTTTGAGTAAACTTACAGTCAAATTCCTTCATTGTTTCCTTTTTCTTTTCAACACAAATCCCATGTATTTTAGCAAAAATAACGGTAATGCTATTTTTGAGGGCATTATCATTTGCAGAAGCCCTCGGTCTTTTTAAACTTCGTCGGGCAGTTAATGGAAGACCTCGGGCTTCTGCAAATGATAATGCCCTAAAACATAGCATTACCGTTATTATTGCTAAAATACATGGGATTTGTGTTGAAAAGAAAAAGGAAACAATTAAGGAATTTGACTGTAGGCCAGAAGAACAATGATCCAATCAACGTGTTTCTTATCCTTTTCAAAAATATTATCTTTAACTGTAAAATATCTAAACAGATGCCAACCTTTCAGTTTTTACAACAGGAGCTTAAAAAATATTATGAACTAACAAAATATTCTGCTACGACATATTGCAAATTTTAAACAGAACAAAAAACCCGACTGGAAACAAACACTAAGAAATGTGTGATCAACAGATGCAAGGTGATTGTCAAATGTATAGGTCTACAGTGATTTATCGACCTTCTTGACAACCGTCAAAATCAAGAATGAGACCCCATGCACGTGTATGGGACTACTGCGTTGTGCATGTACTTCCCATCCGTTGTGTTTAGCGGTGGTTATCAAGAAGAAATGTGGTGAGTTCATAAGATGTCTGTGTTTGAAAGGTCAACGCTTACACTTCCTATCCAAATTTAAAGTTCAGGTTCCCCTATTTGCAAAGAGTCTTACTATCTCTCATAACATATATCATATTCTTAATGTTAATTCTCAAGTTATATGTACATTCACACTGATATAATGTTGAAAATGGAAACCAATATATATATATATATATATATATAACTGTACCTATGCCGTCTGCATGTGCTAGTTTAGCGAGTTGTCGTAGTTTGAGCGCCATCCTGGGAGTCATTAGCCGAGTGCTACAGTATGACCAGGGTTCTGTTTGGCTCATGGAGGGCAGACATGGCGTTCTACATCTTCTGGTGGAGAATCCACACACACTGCTGGGACTCCCCTCAGGCCTGAACACAACATCACTCCTATCGTAGTGATACAGCCTAGAACAGAACATCTGAATTATTAGTGTACAGAATAAACATGTTCTCTTGTATACAGTTTAACATGGGGTAGTCAGAAGCTCTGCAGTGTTGTATTTTCATACTTTTGCATATCTTCCGAGTTCAACCTGCTCAGAGCACCTTGAGGAGGCCCACATGCTTCATCCACGCCTTCTCCGGATGGTATGGTATCGCCTACATTCAGAATAGGGGCCTCTTTCGCACACCTTTGGAATCGAGCGTCATTACCTGTACATAAAAAACAAACATTACAAAATTCAAATATTTGCACTGGTGTGTCTCATAATGTGTGGACTCATTATTTTATGAGGATATACGTTACTTTGTAACAACGTTGTTAATATCATATGGTAGAAATAACAAAATTCAATCAGAAATGTTTTAGTTTTGGGCTGTAAGATTGCTAAAACGTGAACTCCAGAGAATAATGGTCTCTAATGTTTGCAGAAACAGCTTTCAGAGAACAAACGACAAAAAGTGTGAGGAAAATATTTTGAACGGATCAAAACAAATCAGTGAAGACGTGTATCAACCTTTACCTTCATCAGCAATCAGGTCTTCAAACATCGCTCTCTCAGTACTCATGTTCATCACCCCGTCCTTCTTCATCGCAACGTGGATAACAGCGAACTCTCTGTTGATGCCGACATAGTCGAATCCAGAACAGACGCACAGGGAACCTATTCTGTCAAAGGTCGTGTTGTCAACCGTGTTGGCGGCTAAAGGAGGATACAGCAATGTTATTCACACATTACACATGGTTTGTTAGTGAGTAAACATAACACAAATATCATTGCATTCCTGAAACCAAACCTATATACAAATGTAATCATGAAGCAAAATAGATATGCAGTACCGTTAGCATGTACTGTTTCTTAGGAAACACATGTGAAAATATTATTCGTATACATGTACTTTGAAATGGAAACTCACACTTACACGTTTGGCAAGACACATTTAACATGACCATGAAGACGTCTACCATTTGACTCTGAAATCTGAAAATATCCTTTCATTTTCATTTCACTGGATAACTGAGCTCACTCACAGAAACAAATGCCACAGAGCGTGCTACATTGTTGGGTCCCGAAAATGTACACCTCACTCACTTGCTCAGGATCACAGAATCGCAGGAGACAACATTCAGAATATTAAAGTGATGTGTTTGGTGCCCAAACAACAACATGGCAATGTCCGTTATAGCTGTTACGAAAACATACCTGAAACTCCTGTCACCGTTACAACAGCAGCTCTGCCTTCATAGTGTAGGGAACTGTTACCATGGTGACCACCAGGAAAGGCTGGGCTTGGTTCATCCCAGGCAGCTAGTACTATGAGTGTTGCTATGGGAGATACAGTCGAGTTATATTACACCGAATCTAGTCCCAACTAACCTGATCTCTGTCACATAGTTTTCTAATGTTGCTATTAAAAATTCCTAGTGTTTCTACTGAAAAGAGCGGGATTGCTAACGTATTAGAAATAACAAAAACCCACCTGCTTATATTTTCCAAACAATGTTAGAGTAATTTATTGAAATTACTATTAGTTACTTTTAAAGTAATTTAAGGTGTTTGTGGAGTTAATACGATTTCCTTCAATATACATTTAACGGGTTATGAGAAACGCCACATACAAACCGTTTGTCCACTCTGTTTTGACCAACTGACTCAGTTTAGTGATTGCACGGGCAAGACGAGGTGTCATACATCTACTGGCACAGATGGTTGTTGAATGGTTGTTACATACTGAACATGCTGATGGCGTCAGTTCACAAAGAGCACTTTCCTCAGCAGCAAACACAATGTCCGTTCCTTCCAAAACCTCGAACCTACAACAGAATGAACAATCCTTAAACAGAAATAACAGAAATGTTTGTCCTTATGTTGCCGATGTTATGATCTCGAGTCATTCAAGATACGTTCATATATGACGCATATCATAGTGTACGGTGAAGAAAAACAACCTTCAAATGACTCTTTCTCTCAATCGATCACATTGAAGGAAAGTATCCTTCGAATATGTCAACTTACTTGTTGAACAGACTGCTGCCCCGTACAACCCTGTCAGTCATTTCGCCACACACCTGGTCCTGTGTGAGTGGAGGCCCAAGTTCTGCAGGGCCGTCACAATGGGCCAAACATGTCAGGGACAGGCTGGACTCTGTGAGTGTCTCTCTTTTCGTGATCTTCGGATTTAACATAACATCCCTGAAACAAGTACCTTTACTTTGACATACTCGTAATGCAAGCTCATGTAACATCATAACACTGTGTCTCAAAGTGTCATTTTCGAAATAACTTGGACATTGTGCTCATTGTATCATCCTGTGCAATATGACGTTCGTATGCAAGCAAAGTTTAGTTCTCACCATACGTTGCATCCAAATGCTTCAACGGACAGAACTGACTTTTCAACAGAAAATAATCCATCTACTGCAAGTGTCGCTTCTGTGCATACTTCAAGTCCACTAATGACAGATTCCATTTTCATGCTTGGCCGTACTCTGTAAATCCAAAGTCAATAATATATTAACTGTCTTAACGTAAGGTACATATTGCATTGTACATATATTGCTAGGCGACTTGACTACTGTCAAAATATTCAGTGGTTGGTAGTCTTCATTTAGAACACGCGTATATGTACGGCATTACTTTTTCTTACTCATCTGTAAAACACATTTTTATGTTATTTCATAACTTATTTTCTGACTACTTGGTAGATAAATGTCATTAGATTCTGTACTCTGCAAAGGTCTATATACACTGAACGAACAAACATCACTACACGCTATAGATATGTACGTTATTTCCATTGGTGGGTACAGGTTGATGGTTATGTCCTTTACTTTCCAGGAAACAGATGCGTTGAAGAAAATCTGAAAAAAATGACAGCAAGTTGTTTAGATACTTGCCTATTTGCGGTCTCAGTTATCACTGTTATCATTATATGTGTACGGTAATACATCTACTATTGGTATACCTTCACATTTGACTTATGTACCTGTTATTGAAGTTCGCCTTCCACGGGACACAAAAGTGAATCTTTTCACGTAATCCCCACAATAGTTTAGAGACATTGCATCACGTTAACCTGATACACAACATAGCCAGTGACCGTCCAAGGCAAATGGAACATGAATGCTCAAATGGTACATACATGCTAAAACAAATCAACGAATGCATTCAACTACTACCTTCTGGAACACATCGACGGTGACGTTGAATGTGTCAGGAACAGCCATCTCTACTGTGTCCTGTCCATCCGATGTCCAGGCGTGAGATGTGATGTCTCCTTGTAGCGATGATGATGCCTCAAACTGCTGCGCTGCAACGGGTTAAGCATTGAAATTATGACTACAGGCTGTGTGGTGTCGATATAGATCTTGAAGGTTGAAGCAAATGTTCCAACTGTACACCATGCTACCATACAAACATACAGCATAATCAAAAATAAAGTTGATAATTGATTTACGACAGACTTAGTGTACGGTTCCATGTCAGACTATACTCTCTAAATAAAGAAACGCATAGGCGTTTTCAGCAGTTCATTTCGATATATTTTGATTTGGATCAAACGTCATTAAGACAATTCCTAATTTTGAATCCCGTTAATCATGTCGTGGTTGTTACGTATTGCGCGCAAACCCATCCCAAAATGTGTTTGTAAATGTTTGTCATAAAAAATGAAAACGATACAGAAAAAATTGTCCACTCAATGGACGTGCAATGAGTCAGAAACATGACACATCGATTATAATAAGTCAAACCAAATTCATCATTTCATTACGAAATTCACGACGTAAACGAAGATAAAAAATACCAAGATTGAATTCTACTGACCAAAATATCGCCATTGGACGTTTGGAAGCAGGGGACTCACAGTCTGCCGTTGCAAGACACTTCAAAGTTCACCTGAGGGCAATTATCTCGATTATGGCATCGGTATAGCCGCTTCAACTTGACCCAAGATCGTCCCAGAAGTGGAAGACCAAGAGTGACCACTCCTGCTCAAGACCGATTCATCCGGGTGTTACACCAACGTCACCGATTTGCTACAGCAACGGACACTGCAGGACAGGTGCCTGATCTGCGAAGAATTTCCGTTCAAACCATCAGAAATCGTCTGAGAGAAGTGACGATTCGGGCATATCGAACAAAAGTTGGACATGTCCTTGACACGACAACAACGACGTGTCCAATAGTGGTCCAGCGATGAATCGCGTTTCCTCCTGCAACGACGGGAAGGGAGACAACGTGTCTATCGACGTCGACACGAACCATTTGCGCCGGACTGCGTTCGACAGGTGGACAGATTTGTTGGACGGAGCGTCGTGGTGTGGGGAAACATGTCCTACACGGGCAGATCAGAGCTAGTGGTGGTTAAAGGCAATCTTGCAGCAAATCGCAAGGTAAGTCACAAAACATAAATTAAAACCTTCTTGTTTTAATCGTAGAATATGTGTATTTTTATTGTATGGCTAGATATATCTAAATTGCTGACAGCAGAAGACATGATGTAAATCCAGCTTGGGCCAATGCAGGAAGCAAATGTACTGTAAGTCCCCATGGTCCCTAGTATGGTGATCTACCTATAGTTGTTGGCAATCTATAGCCCGATTTTACCTTTCTTGTCATTTATAGGTAAAATATTTTAGATTTAATTACTAGTCTTAAATTTATTCCTGTGATAATCTAGTTGTTTTACAGCCCTTATTGTTCATGTAAAACATTTCTCGTCACTATATGACTGAAATATTGCCGAGGTGACGTTAAATCTTAACTCACTCTCTCTACCAAATCCTGCGACCTCACCTTCCCCCACTTTTTAACCGCAAGAGGTCGCTGTTTCAACACGGCTACGCTCGACCTCACACAGCTCGTGTAACAGGTGCCTATCTCGCTAATTCCAACGTCAATGTCCTTCCCTGGCCATTCAAATCATCTGATCTGAACCCGATCTAGCATCTATGGGACAAACTTGATCGACGCGTCCGTAAAGCTCACCATCGTCTTCAGATACATGCAGAACTTGCCTACGCGTTGCAAGATCAATCGTAAAAAATCCCCGAGGAAAATATCCGACGACTTGTGCAATCCATTCGAAGGCGGTGTCGAGCAGTAACGGCTGCAAGGGGTCACCTGGTGCTAATGTGAACGCCTCCTTGTGTCCACACATGTGCAGTGAGTGAAGTGAATTAATGCTGACAATGACAACAGTTCATATGTTCATCCGTGTGTTGAATTTCTTTCATTTATGTTCAAGCTTTAAACACGAGTTATAAACACTTAAATACGTTTAGTACATTTCCTTATTTTGGGCCTATGCGTTTCTTTTTTTGAAGAGTCTTCATGACTTATGTTTGGCACATATTGGATAAGGAAAAAGATTTATCGATATATTGTGTATCGATCCACGTATTTATACTAAATACATTGATAAATGTCTCAGGAAAAATATGACAAAACGGAAAACTTCACAAATGTTTAAAAACTATTTGAGGTACAAACGAGAAATCTATCAATTTCATTAAGTTTGTTCAACAATGACAAGCTAAAGGTGACACACTTCTGAACGGAAAGATCATGGGTTATTGATATAGTGACCAATCACCTTTGGCAGGCACCGGATAAGAATGTTATTACTAAAACATTATGAGATATTATGATGAAGTCTATCGACTCAATTGTCGTGTCATAGATTAGAAACTAGTAAATTGAATCTTGTCAGTATCACAATATTGACACTGCATATTGCAGTGAAGAACCTATATCTACATTTGTCTTTCATCACATTAGTACACGAATACTACAAGTACTGTAAGTCCCCATGGTCTCTAGTATGGTGATATACCTTCAGTTATTGACGATCTATAGCCCGTGTTTCATATTGTATCGTCTTCTTCAATTAAAATGTTTTTACATGCCAGTTTTATATTCAAATCTGTGACACTCTAGTATTTTTACTGTCCATCATCGACAGGTTTTATTCTTCAAAATGTTTTCATCTTTTATTGTATAAGTTGTTTTCTTCACGATATGGCTGAGACATTGCCGATATGACGTTATATATTAACTCACTCACTCAATAGCGTGATGATCTACCTTCAATTGTTGGCGATCTGCAGCTCATTTTTATACTGAGTTGTCCTAATTTGAAATCCAATTTTAGAGAGAGATGCTATTTTTAATTCTTGAATCTGTGATATCCTAGTTGGTTTTACTGTCCTTCGATGACAGTTTTTACTATTTAATTGCGTTAGTACTATAGGGAATGATAGTCCGATGACGCGTAGGTTGACCATGCCTAGGAGCCTCCACAAACGCCAACAAGTAGAGTTTTGTGCAAAAGAAAGACAAAAAGTTTCCCGACAAATTCCGCTGGTGGAAGTGCACTCCAATTAGAGATATGCAAGTGTATGGATATAGAACAATGCCAGGAACCAAGCTATTGCGCGAAGACTATGCCGAGATCTGATCTGGCCATTTGTCCCTTCGGAAAGCGAAGAGGAAAAACCACATCACAGGCCAGATACAGGAAAATCCGAGGTAGTATATAGACCCCGAGCCACAAATGGAGACAACTTCCAACATGGCAGAAGTCTTCGAGACCCTGCTAGAGAAGTATCCCCATGTCTTGCTTTCCGACAGATAGAAATAAGTCCTGGAGCGATCAGGACACCGTCTACGAGCGATACCAGATCCCTCGACAGTTTCTTGAACATTATTTGCAGTGCTTTCGCCAGTTCGTAGAGGATGGTAAAATAGTCGATTTTGTCTACATCTACCCACCTAACCAATTTCGACTCACAGCGGACAAACTCCGAATCATTCTCGGCATCGACTGTCCGGAACCCAAGGACAGACACCAACGCCTCCTCGACAAATTGGTGGACAATGTCCATGCGAGAAAGATTCTTGTACCTTTCGGCAGCTAGCGGTGAAAGCAGACCTACCACAGTCTAACCATATTCGGCATACCTCTTTGCCCAACTACGGCGAGCCCAAGGATATGGAAGTGGCAGCCCCTCTGTGCAAAGAACAACGAAAAGCTGCAGACGTTCCCGAGGGAATCTATTCGTGTAAACAGTTTGCCGTAGCCAAATACGAAGGGAAGAACACATTGTTGCTGCTACTCGATTCGACGTGGACTGGAGAAACTATTCCGGTCTAAGGCTACAAGATACGAGAAACGGTTCGAGACGCAGGCGGAATAGAATGCCTACGGTTGGTGGGTGGACCTTTTCTGTTTAGACTCGGCAAAATCTGTCGCTCGCCCATATCGAAAAAGAAAGACGATCGAGAAGTCGAGTTGCTGTTCCCAGAGACCGATCGGGTATATCTTTTATCTAGTCCAAAAAACCCCCAATAAAACAAAACCATACAAACATCCACGCAAACATACATACGAAACAGATACTTTTTTTCGACTCTTATTTCCTCTTCGCTTCCCGAAGGGACAAATGACCAGATCGGATCTTGGCATAGGCTTCTATGGCGCGATAGCTTGGTTTCTGACATTGTTCTATATCCATACACCTGCATATCTAATTGGAGTGCACTTCCACTAGCGGAATTTGTCGGGATTGTCTTTCGGACTAGATTTGCTCAAAACTCATCGGACTATCGTTTCCCTATAATACTGCGTTTATTGTGAATTAATAACTTTTAAAGTCATGATATGGCTGAATTATTGCCAATGTGACTATACATATTAACTCACTCACTTACACAGTTAACTGCATATACATGTATACCCACAAATTGTATATCTGCCGCTTGCCCGGAATCCTGTCCTGCCTCTACCAGAGCCTCTGGAGTAGCCAAAGACGCTAACCAGAGCTTGTGTGTTGTAAGCAAGAGATAGCTCCACTGGGGGTAGTCGCCAGACAACAGCCACGGGTATGCGGATGAGTTCTATCGGCCCAGTCTCCCACACAGGGGTTGTATAGTTCACGCCCATCTCCTGGCTAAACTCTACTTCAATATCAGCCCGTAGTTGGGATTCACCTTCGAGCTGAAGGCCAAGAAGTAAATAGGTGAATGTGTATCTCTTATTTAAGTAGCTAATGGTATTACAGTCACAATATATCAGAAATGTCATTCATATAGTTTATGGATGATATTACAGAGAAAGATTTGCTAAACATGCTAACATGAATAACGCAACACCCTTAAGAAATAACGTATTGAAAAATATTGTATATCGAGATTGATGTAATACTGCATGTAACATCTAATTGTGTAAGTTACTGTATATTTTGTTTAATCTGTATGTGAGCCTGATGCCTAAAATACAATGAACTTCTTCTTCTAAGAATGCTAACATACTTATGTGTTAATTATATCAATACTCCTTCTCACCTGTGATATGTATTTCACCAGTTTCGGCTTGTTGTTTACCTTCTTTATGAGTAGTTCACTGTAATAATAAAGTATAACGATCTTGGTGATAACTTCTTTATCCTAATAAGCAGTTTCACGGACTGCTAGGGGGATCTCTGACAGCGAGTTGAGTCCACCAGCTTCAACGATGCACCGACCGTTGATTTGAATACCAAATTCGTCACGATTGGAATCCGTGGCCATCAGATGAGCACATGTGCTTGCTGTATTCACCAATATTGAAACATTCACAGCATGATATCAATATATGTATAAGACCTTCGTCTGATATCCAACCTGGACCAAAATATCATGAGCAGCCTCGGCCTCCAACCGAATGGGATCACAGCTATAAAATCATTATGGATATTGTCTGTGTATATGGCAAAAAATGAAACGAGGGGGCAGTTGAATATTTTTCATCTTTAAGAGTGGGCTATGTCAACGAATAGTGTTCTCATTAATATAAAGCACAAAGCGCAAAGGAGAAATCACAAACGGAATAAACCCATTCAGTTCCTTCCGTCCGTCATTCAGACTGGTTGCCCAACATTAAAGGTTTGCAGCTGTTCACACTTGTAAGGCCTCAAATAACAAGAACTTTAATGTAACCATCACTACATAACACGTTTGATCTTAGGATCCAATTCTGCTCCATACCATGCTACTGCAACCAAATTAATGTTCGCCTCACTCAAAAAGGTTGTCAGGTCAACACTCGATTACTTATGTAGTCGTTGTATTTTTTAGTTTGACCTTAAAAAAACAAATGAAACGGGCTGCTCTCTTGCTGGTTTGAACTCATGGGTATGTCATATATCAACACTAATACAATATACATCAACATACTCACAACACATATGACATGTCTGTTCCTCCATGACAATCCATGCACCTCACAATGAAGTCATCCTTCAGCATAAGAAGGTCTTCTTGCGACGGAGAAAATGTCACATTTGCCTGTCTCGCACCTGAGGTCTTGTGGACTGCAAAGTATTTGTCTGGGGCACTGCTTTGATTATGATGTTCATTGAAGGGTATTCTGGTTGAGAAATTGGCGTGCCAGTCGAGATTCCCGAGTATTTTGGTGAGGATGTTCGACAGATAACGGCGATGACGCTGCTTGGTTTCAACGGGCAGATCCGATCGTCCAGGGCTGTAGCGGAAGTGAATGTTGGCCTCCTCTATCATGTCATAAGGCCTTGAAATGACAAAAATACCCATTAGGTTTAGTAATGATTAGTTATGCTAAAAGAACAATGTTGAACAAAGTGTGTATGTTAAGAGTGTGTGTGTGTGTGTGTGGATTAATCTGGTGCTGAGAAATATATGGTTCGGTTACACATATGGACATTGTCACACTACTGGCGGGTGTCTTTACACGTTGGACAGCGTGAAATTGGAGTTGCCTACGTGGTGGGTTCGAACTCAACAACATACCCCTGCCTATGTTTTGGAAAACTACAAAACTGCAAAGTAAGGTTTAACCCAACTCGGACATCTGCTTACACACGCTCGCATGTATTCATGATGTCGGCAATCCTATAACATTCCCTCTGGCTATAAAACATATAACGTATTCCACTTTCTCCTATTGGTATTGATGTAAATCAAGAAGCTGTTGGACAGTTAAGCGATTAAATCAGTCAAGAGCGCATAGTCCGAAATCAAATAGTGCTCCAATATGTGCACTTAAATCATTTCGTCTAAATGGATAGCGCTATAAGGTGCTGATGCAGGCGTTACTATCAACTGATACAATACGAAACATCAACGTCAAAGAAAAACACGAGAATGTTTTACAAACTCTTAAAGAAATGAAAAATGGGTCAATAGACATAATGACATTTCACTTTTTTGGTCCTGTATATATTTACTCAAATGATTTCGTTTTCGTGAGAGAAAAAAGAAACATTACATTAAGCAATGACATACATCACCAAGTACAAAATAATAGGGTGTCGCTACGGTTTCACAGTTTGCTGACACCTGAAATGGGCTTCACTTCACACATTGTAACCATGTGGGGAATTGAATCCTTGTCTTCAGCGTGACGAGCGGACCATTAGGCTAACCACCGCCGAACCCCACCCCCACCCTCCTTATGTAAAGAGTGGCGTGGGATAAGCTGATAAGCTGAGCTGTCGAGCTGGAATCAGGACACGATAACAAGTGCGCTGCAGTCATGACATTCCGGATGTGTACGTTTGCTGGTGCAACCGGATCGGATCGTATTACGTATTTTGCTTATCACCCACTCCAATCAGGGCCGATCAGAGCAACATATGTAACATATTCATAACATTTGCTCCAAACTAAATTTTAATTAAGTGAACTAAGCCAACGACAAGTATTATCAAGTATGCACTATGGCAAACTTTCACGTAAACACTTGTGTCATTCCCAATCGACACGACGATCAGTACTTGGTCTACAGGGGCTGTAAGTTCAGTATCAAGAGTGAGTGAGTTAATATTTAACGTCACATCGGCAATATTTCGGCCATATCGTGACGAGAAAATGTTTGATATTGAAATGGAATATGTGTATTCTATATAACCCTGTCGTCAAAGGACAGTAAAACCACTAGAATATCACAATTACAATTAAATCTAGTGTGGAAAGTTAAAACTAATAGCACTATTTGGACAATACAATATAAAAAAACAGGCTACAGATTGTCAACAACTGAAGGTAGATCACAACACTAGGGACTCGGTATCAAGACCAGACGAAGGACTGTTTTTTCCAACCCGACATTAAGGCCATTGGCTTTTTAAAGAAGGAACAAGGCTGGGTGGAGGCATGTGTTCTTCTGATAAGAAACGGTGCCAAACCTCCACGTAGGAAGAGAAGATGAGTTGCACGTAACCATGCCTTGGAAATGTACAAGAGACTCATTATCACATTTAACTGGTAATTAAGTGTGAATGGTGTGATGTGAAATATTGATGTATAATATGTAACATGATGTTGATGTTGTATTAAGTTGTATAAATGGATATGTATATATATAATCAATAAATACAGACAAACATTGAATCAAACGTAGTAGCATTTTATCCCATTTGGCCCCGGATACTATTTCACAGGGAGCCAAATAAGGGATTAAAGAGGATTATCATATCCCAGTGATTTCTTCTATTGAAACAATAGGAGTTGGGTAAGTGGGAAGACCCCGTCCTTGCAGCAAGTCTACAGGAACAAAGCACGAGGCTACGGGGCCAGGCTGTGATACCATCATGTTGATCGGTTTATTCCCTGGAAGACCAGGGACGTTTAAAACAACAAACCGGTGGAGCATGCAAGGATTTTCAAGTCGACTGCCTCCAGAGAAAAATAGAGTTTTTGTTCTCATTTACGACTGGCAAGATGATACGTTTATTTGCAGTTTATAATATTTTTATCACATCATCACACAAACATGTGTATTTTATACACTTGTTCGTTCATTTATAATAAATTAATCGATCACAGTAAAGAAATTTACAAGCACTTTTCACACATAACATTAAATTTTGAACAATTTCCATACATTACATACATTTATTTTAAAACAGATATATTTCATATATTTGTTTTCAGCACTTTTCATGCATTTCAATTCATCAATTACATTTCATACATTTCTTAAACATGTAACCTTGATGCACTAATATTCTTTCTCCACGGCGGGACGGAAAGAACTTATGGTTCATGGTTTAGTAAATGTATCATTCCTTAAAAAAGTTCACTACTTTCCAAAGTAAATTCAATAATTGGTGAACATGTTTTTTTTAACTAAAGTTGTGAGCTCAAACTCAATGTATTCAGTAAGTGGTATGCTTAATTCACTGACATTTTGAGACGACCCCATACTGTCAAAACAATGGTTATTGGCGTTAATTACTTCAAAGGACACCGGCAAGTCGGCCTGGTGCACCTCTCTGCATGCCCACTTGTCTAAAGACCTCGCAGGACGCCCCATAAGCACATGGGTAAATAAATATAGTAATCCAACGGACCATTATTTACACCCCATAAAATACATGAAAATACAGTTTTCATAAGTAACATGTGTTACATTTGAAATTACTTTTTTTTAGTAAAGTACAAATTCTAATTCTTTTGTTGGGTTGAGTCCCATCCGGGATTCGAACCAACACCCTCAGAGTCAGGGCAGCTAATCGCCAACACACAAAGTCAGCCGCCTAACTCGCTTAGCCACCGCGGCTTCTACAAAAAGGTTAACATATGTTACATTTGACCACTTTCTAAATAGCATTGTGTATTCATAGCTTCCGGCTTCGGGAGCCGTGTCAATTTACACTATCAGAGGGGTACACCAAGTTCGTAGTCTAGACTACCAGCTGTCCGACTTCCATATTTGTGAAAGCCGAGGTGGATGAGGGTTCGATACCCCTCTATTGAAAATGACTATAGACCATGTTGAAGTTAATATTATGCATTGGCGGATTCAAGTGGTGTGTGTGTGTGTGTGTGTGTGTGTGTTTGAAGGGGTTCGAAGCCCCCTTTTGAAAATGATTAAGGCCCATATTGAAGTTAATGTTATGCATTTGCGGATCGGGGGTGGGGTGGGTGGGTGGGTGGTTGGTTGTGGGATTCAGGGGGTTCGAAACCCCCTTTGAAAATTCCTGGATCCGCCTATGGACGTGGATTAATTTCAGCCGTCTCTCATTCCCACGGTGGTATGTTTTCTAAATAAAATTATCTGGGAGCAAATGCAGACTGACAAAAAGTTGGGATGTTTAGATAAACATGTCGAAACTGTTCATAAGAAGTAAAACATGTGTTGACGACAAACAGTCTTTGCAAGAACGTTCATGTTGAGAAAAACAGAAAACCAAAGCACATCGCATGGTTTTCCCCACGCAGTAGCGTCACAAACGTTCACTGATCTTGTGGGATTAATGTTCCGCGCCAACTATCTGCGAATCCCAGCTGCAAGATGGTCAGTCCCTGCTCTCTCGACCGTGACGGACCCGGACACCCGGCTACCGTCCACCTTGGTAGGATTTCTTCAGCCAAAACAATGGGCATTAAGAAGGGTGGATGCCATCATATGCCGTTATTTGAAAATATTCCCTGTAGTTGTTGTCCAATTGTAATAAAGTATAACAGCAGTGTAGACTTTTACGGGTTTTCTAATACGTGGTTGGTATAATGACTGATCAAATTTGATCCTTGGGGATTTATTACCTCGATATTTAATCGTATCCTGTAAAAATGTGATGTTTGTTACGTATGGTATTAAAAAACACATAATTTGAATCCTTACACAAAACAACCCCATTTTGCCATTGCAAATACAATTCTGAAAATAACTAAGATAAATAAGTATATACAGATTTTAAGTTCCGTTCGTATCATCAAAACAGTGTGGACACCTACGTTTATTGGGCAGTTCGAATTGCATGCAATACAGCGATTACTACTCCCTTGCTGTAACCCGTGTTTGGTGGTATAAACTTACACCTGTTTATTTGTCATCATTCACTTGATGGTCAGTTAATGAATCTACAGGTACAAATGTAACAGTGCGACATTGATCTTGAACAATTCCACGTCTACTCGTTGTTTTTACCCCGCGACTACAAGGATGATATCCAATAATTCCTGACTGGGTTGCGATCTCTGCAGTGCCACCCGCAAGCGCATTTGGTAGTATAAGTGCGTATTCTTACATTGATCAACAAAGATGAAGTACAGTTTCGTACTGAATTAATTGGAAAATGTTACCTTTTTTAACATTAATATTTCTATCTTCATTATCATTATAATAAATGTTTAATTTCATCTGCCAGTGGTAAAAAATGTTAGAATTGAAATTGTCGGTTATCCTGTGAAGGTTAATACTTTGTTTTTACACAGGCAGATCAAGAAAGCGTATGCCATGGTTAACCGAAATAAATTACTTTATCTTCTTTTAAGAAATTGTATCCTGCTTGTTTGCCAATCCGGTTCCACTATTGGAAATATATATGTTTAAAGCAAATTCTATCCATTGCTTTGATTGTTCCACTGGTGTTAGACAAGGATGTCCACATAGTCCTTTGTTCTCCATATTTATGAAAGTGTGGAACATTAATTAATTCATTAATTAGGGGTGACAGCATGGCCCAAGAAATTAGTGTGCTATTTTTATCTGCTTTTTTGGAGGTCTGGGTTTTGGGGGGTCTGCGTTATGGGAGTGAACCTTTGCAAAAAAATGTGGGTGTATTCAATATACGTTAGTAAACATATACATACATAAACACTACCTTTTGACAAAACCGCATGATAAAAGTAATTTAACAATCAACTCGTTATAGGTTAATCCTTTGATCGATGTATATTTCTTTAACTCAGCTGAAAATTCCTCTTGCTGCATTTCCACGCGCATATTACCAGGGATAATCTACAGATATTACAACTTTCCATAAATATTCCTGTCTGACTGACTGACTGACTGAGTTTGGTTTTACGCCGCTTTTAGCAATATTCAAGCAATATCACGGCGGGGGACACCAGAAATTGGCTTTACTCATTGTACCCATGTGGGGATTCGAACCCAGGTCTTCGGCGTGACGAGCCAACGCTTTAACCACTAGACTACCCCACCGCCCCTCCTGTCTGAAGACCATAGATAAAACTCATCAATATCACGATAGTGTGTACACTCACCCAGCAGGGACAACGTGTATGGAAATACGATATTCAGTAGGAAAGTAGATGCTGGAGATCTTAGCATAGATTCCATCTCCACCAGATCCCTGTGACGCATTACACCTCCATGTTGTGCTCCCCAGGATGAGCTGACCCACTCTCCAGTCCCTGCCCACATCATTCTGGGTGGTCACCATCAGGATCTTGTCATCCACACACACGAGGCGCTGGAAAATATATGTCCTCTCGTGATCGCTTTTGTTACCATTTAATGACAATGAAAAGGATGAAATGTCGAGTTTCTGCCAATGTTTACTGCTTTAATTCAAAATCAACAAATTAAATGAATCCTGATAAATATTTAATCCTTGTAGGGTGGCCATTATCGTTTCCCCAAATAACAGCATATTATCAGGGATATATACTATATCACAAAAAAAATAACAGCAATGTCAGGCTTGAAAAGAAAATATTCCTAACGTATGAGAAAATCACTATGCAATATGGAATTGAAATGTCAGTATTGTCTCGGTACCCATTGGCCTCAAGACATGCCAGCCAACGTCAGATTTCGTCATACGTGTCTATGTACCCGTGAACATCCGGGTTAGAATTGTTTTGTCAGCAACCCATGCTTGTAAAAGGCGACTATACAGATCGGGTGGTCATGGAATTTTCACCTTTTTACAATTGAAATTATATGAAATAATAGCTCTTAAAGTAACGGAATACATTCTTCTAAAATGCCTTATGCGTTTCTATTTTTGAAGAGTGTATATAAACAAAGTCACTTGAAACCGTTCATAACCACATACCTTTAGTCCATCAATGACATCAAGATCAACAACATCACTGAGGACACCAGAACTGTGAAGTTTGAACCGTTCCCCGTTGTCGTCAGTTGTGAAGTCCACGTTGTGGTGGAAGGAGTTGTCGGTAGAATGACTGTCGTGTGGGAACAGCCCCGATATAACAAAGAAGAAAACCAGACGCAACATGACAAGCCTGCGGTGTTCAGCTGTACGCCATGGTGTGTTATGTACGCAAGATAAGAAGTATTCTTTAGACAACTCAGTACATGCACTGGTTTGGAGTTAAATAAAACCCAGCCATACTGAAAACGTTGTCTTTCTGTAACCCATATTGCTTGTAACGCCTGCTAAAGTGCTGTTGGTTGGATAATTACAATAACTTGTCAGTATATACAGTAGGCTCAAGCTAAGATTTCAACATTAGCTGCGCGTTCACCGTTATCATGAAGAGCGCCGGCTGGGTTGGAGCAGCCCTCCTGCTACTGTGCTCATACAGTCAGGGGTATTTCTTCCAAGACGGCTACGACCATCAGTATACCTACTCTTCTATGTCGGAACTGTTCGGCCATAAAAATATCACCACTGTTCTGAAGGTAAGTTGTTATTAATAATCTGTTATGTATTTTCATGGGTTCAATTTATTGCAAACGTTCAGCTCCTGATAATCAAACGTTAGTAGTCAACATGTTCACACTGCTGTAAACCACTGTATTGGGACTCCAGGCTTGAATGGTCGGACCCAATTCTAAACAAAATTAGTGGTAGTGGTAGTGGCTTGAATGGTTGGACCCAATTCTAAACAAAATTAGTGGTAGTGGTAGTGGCTTGAATGGTTGGACCCAATTCTAAACAAAATTAGTGGTAGTGGTAGTGGCTTGAATGGTTGGACCCAATTCTAAACAAAATTAGTGGTAGTGGTAGTGGCTTGAATGGTTGGACCCAATTCTAAACAAAATTAGTGAAAGTGGCTTGAATGGTTGGACCCAATTCTAAACAAAATTAGTGGTAGTGGTATGGTGGCTTGAATGGTCGGACCCAATTCTAAACAAAATTAGTGGTAGTGGTAGTGCTTGAATGGTCGGTAGTGGTGGTAGTAGCTTGAATGGTTGGACCCAATTCTAAACAAAATTAGTGGTAGTGGTAGTGACTTGAATGGTTGGACCCAAGTTTAAACAAAATTAGTAGGAAGTGGCTTGAATGGTTGGACCCAATTCTAAACACAATTAGTGGTAGTGGTAGTGGCTTGAATGGTTGGACCCAAGTTTAAACAAAATTAGTGGTAGTGGCTTGAATGGTTGGACCCAATTCTAAACAAAATTAGTGGTAGTGGTAGTGGCTTGAATGGATGGACCCAATTTTAAACAAAATTAGTGTTAGTGGTAGTGGTTTGAATGGTTGGACCCAATTTTAAACAAGATTAGTGGTAGCAGTAGTGGTAGTGGCTTGAATGGTTGGACCCAATTTTAAACAAAATTAGTAGTAGTGGTAGTGGCTTGAATGGTTGGACCCAATTTTAAACAAAATTAGACCCAATTTTTAAACAAAAAGTAGTGGTAGTGGCTTGAATGGTTGGACCCAATTTTAAACAAAATTAGTGGTAGTGGTAGTGGTAGTGGCTTGAATGGTTGGACCCAATTTTAAACAAAAAGTGGTAGTAGTAGTGGTAGTGGCTTGAATGGTTGGTAAACAAAATTAGTAGTGAATGGCTTGAATGGTTGGACCCAATTTTAAACAAAAAGTGGTAGTAGTAGTGGTAGTGGCTTGAATGGTTGGACCCAATTTTAAACAAAATTAGTAGTAGTGGTAGTGGCTTGAATGGTTGGACCCAATTTTAAACAAAATTAGTGGTAGTAGTAGTGGTAGTGGCTTGAATGGTTGGACCCAATTTTAAACAAAATTAGTGGTAGTGGTAGTAGTATGGCTTGAATGGTTGGACCCAATTTTAAACAAAATTAGTGGTAGTGGTAGTGGCTTGAATGGTTGGACCCAATTTTAAACAAAATTAGTGGTAGTAGTAGTGGTAGTGGCTTGAATGGTTGGACCCAATTTTAAACAAAATTAGTGGTGAATGGTGGACCCAATTTTAAACAAAATTAGTAGTGGTAGTGGCTTGAATGGTTGGACCCAATTTTAAACAAAATTAGTGGTAGTAGTAGTGGTAGTGGCTTGAATGGTTGGACCCAATTTTAAACAAAATTAGTGGTAGTGGTAGTGGCTTGAATGGTTGGACCCAATTTTAAACAAAATTAGTGGTAGTGTAGTAGTAGTGGCTTGAATGGTTGGACCCAATTTTAAACAAAATTAGTGGTAGTGGTAGTGACTTGAATTGTTGGACCCAATTTTAAACAAAAGTAATATTAGTGGTAGTTGTAGTGACTTGAATTGTTGGACCCAATTTTAAACAAAAGTAATATTAGTGGTAGTTGTAGTATTAGTGGTAGTAGTAGTATTGGTACCAAACGATAAAATCATTCTAACTGCTCAGGGAAAGAATATTTAAAAAAGTCAGATTAGAAACATATTTTCAAAAACATGTTTATGTTTGCCTACGCAGCAAGCATATCAGGCATTCATTCTCGGCCCCCAATGCTGTTTTCTCTGCAATCAGCTCTGATGTCGAAAATAACTTAATTAGGTCATACACAGCAAGCTTGTTCACGAATACAGACCACATGACTAAGAGTTCATATCCAGACAGCACATGCGCAGTGTATAACATGCATGAGGGCGTCCGTATTTAATTCTGTGTTTCTCATCGCTTGACTGTTCCCAGATTTGGGCGGGCATGTGGTCTAAAAAAACAATAAATGGCAAAAAAATACTATTGAACATTCAAATATGAATGTATACTCACCAAATGAATAAGGAATCACGGTAAAGACAACGAAGTATCCTTAGCTTTACTTCAATATTCCGGAAGTGGGATTAAAAGAGCCATGAATCGCCACTTGAACAGAGATGTAAAATTACAGTCTATTAATCAAGCCTGTAGTGTTTATTCACATATGGTGTTACTTGAAACAACACGTTACATTTTGAAGTCTATTTATTATTGACAGATAGTCAGCATTATCTACAACAATGTGTAGATTACAATCATCATCAAATTCATCTTCTGAAAATAATTGTTTTTGTACAGTCTAAGTGTGTTAGGCATTGTGAATGTGGCTTTGTACTATCATTTGTCTGTGTTCCATTTCGAGAGGTAATGATGTGACATAGTCATGCTTTAAGAATGTAAAACTGGAGAAATATACATGATGCACACAAAATTTCTCTTGGGATAATATAGAAATCCTATCACCTTAGGACTTGTTTATTTTGGCGACTTGAAATTGCATGATGCACACAAGTTATCGCCCAAGGAAATGTTTATATACAATATATATACTACGTATTACCATATTCTGAATGATCCGTTACCATCATCTTTCAGTCTAAAATTCTCCGTTACCAGTGGTAAAGACTCTGTAACATGTCTAAACTATTATTTTAGTGAAATTGATGGTGAAATATTGATATTTATGACACAATGTCATGTGGAAAACTTGACATATAATTCGTTATGAATATTTTGTCCTTCCTGGATTGTTTGTTAATGTAAGTGTTTTACTCATACTTATTATCAAAATGACTTTCATGCAAATTATGATAAAAAAATGATATCTATGCTATTGCTAGATTTATCAAAGTAAATTATAAAGTTGCAAGATGATATCATGTGTTGATATGGAAAATAATAGTCTTTAATACCACAAAATGCCTGCTGAGGATTCGTTTTTCGTTTTTCAATGAAATTTGATACATTCTAAACTCAATTTTAAATTTTTCCTGTGCTGAAACATTCTTTGTTCAATGTGAGGTGTACAATTGAGAATGGTCGGTGCAAAGTTTAGAAAAAACCCATAGTGTAACGTATGAACTTTCAGGAGATTGTTTCGTCTGTAAGTCAAACTAATTCAAGGGCGAAATATATTCAAGGGGAAGGTCATCAACTCATTTGTTTGTATAAATGAGAACATTTTTATAATGCTTTTTAATATTCTTTAAAATAACTTAATCTATAACCTAAACAGGGCCCTGTCGGCAATTTTTTGTTTGCTTTCAAGATGTCCGTGGAAAAATACATAAAACGTTCGCTTTAAAACGTGTTGTTCTAGACCTCGAATCTTTGTCACCCATATCATTGTTTAGACGTCGACAGGTAAGAACCCCACAAATTTGGAAGAATCTGCTTGCATTGCTCCATGTCACTGAAAATGAAAGATGGCGAGCCATTGGAATACTTGAAACCGGAACACCCCAGCACAGCGTTGCACAGCAGTTTAACGTGCACAGGAGACATTATCAACAAAACGCCGTCGTTGCAGATAGTCCACAAAGTGACCGTCGACCTGTAACCAAGCCACGCCACGTAACGATCGTTGGGTTCGAAGCACCCGTCTGCGCCAAAGATTCCAAGTAGCCACACTGACAGCGCGAACAGTTCCTGATGTCAACAGGATATCGCCAAAGACCATTCGCCGACGTCTGGCTGCACACAGGACATTTTGACATTACGTCACCAACGACTACGACTGCAGTGGTGCAAACATCATCTGCGGTGGACTGACTGAGTTTGGTTTTACGCCGCTTTTAGCAATATTCCAGCAACATCACGGCGGAGGACACAAGAAATGGGCTTCACACATTGTGCCCATGTGGGGATTTGAACCCGGGTCTTCGGCGTGACGAGCCAACGCTTTAACCATTAGGCTACCCCCACCGCCCCCATCTGCGGTGGAGAGCACGTGAGTGGACACATGCTCACTTCACTGACGACACCACATTCCTCTTGCGAGTTTACCAACGACATGGTGAGCGTTTTGTTAGAAACTGTGTCCTTGAGGCTGACCGTTTTGGCTGCGGTGGAGTGATGGCTTGGGGTGGGATAAAGAGTGCTGAACGTACATCTTTGCTTGTCATCAATGGAAATTTAACGGGTCTCAGGTACAGAGGTGAAATTGTTAATTCAGACGTCATACCGTTTCTCAAGCAGAATGGTCCAGGAACAATCTTCCATCAGACCTCGTGTCGCCAGAGTGGTTGAGCAGGTCTTGGCGCAACGCAACGTTAACGTCCTTCCCTGGCCCGCTGAATCCCCAGATCTGTCCTCTATCGAACACAACGAAATGGAGATTACAACATGGGTAAATCCCCTTCCCCATCACTCTTCACTATCTCCACCAGGTGCTTCCATAGATATGGAATGTCATTCCGCAAGGCCTCTTGCGACGTTTGATTGTCTCTATGACGCGAAGTGTCAAGCGTGCATTGATGTTACGACATACACGTTACTTACTGTGAATTTCACTTGGACTGTTCTCTCACTTTAAGAGTTTAAAATGTGCCATTTGCAATCCTGTTGTCTCATCATGAAAATATCAGTTGTTAATTCACATATCTAACTTCAAGTCAATCGCAATAACTTTTGCCTTTGAGTATACTTTGACAGAATAAATGACCGCATGGGTGTCTGTGAATATCTTCAGTTCAAGATCAGAGCTCTCAATACGACAGATGATGGAGGGAGACTGCATTCGTTACGTGTGATCAGTATTGTGCAGTTTGCAGATGGCAGATGTGAGTATATCTTTTACGAATATTGTTTTCAAACAACATCTTATACATGTAATATACTGAACAAAACAAGAAACTTCCCATGTGTTACTTTATGCCCCAAACATACCCATTTAAAACAAAGTGTATTGCTAGTGGATAAATCTGGTTTATGGACGTAATGGGCGTAGAGTTAAACAGAATTAGGAATCAATGTGCTCTTGGCTTGCTGCACTCTCCACAGTCAACAGGCGCACGAAGGGGGTCACTTTTTGATGTATTCTGTATTAGAACTGGTTCAGTACCGCGTATGCCCCCGCTGTCGCATTCACAACAGGATGGCAACGTTGTCTCATTGACTGCCTAGCACCCGTGAACACAGCATTTGGCAACCTGCGCCATTGCTGTACCAACATGTCGCTCCTTTTTTCAACATTCTGGGGCTGAGGTCTCAACGACTTCCATGAGCATCCAGTGGGATTGAGGTCATGTGATCTCAATGGCCACTCATGACGTCAGTACCCGCATTTTGCATTTCGTGTAACAGCTATGGGTGGTGTAGCATTGTCATGTTGGAATTGGAGGCTTGGGCAATGAGCAGCCACGAACGGCACCAGTTCCGCTGCATTGACGTTCCCACGAATTATGAAAAATTGATGAGTGCACAGAAGTTTACGTGACCCCTAGATAGTGCGTTGCTGGTTGACGTTGCGGTCGTAAAACGATTGCACAAATAACGAAGCCGAACTTGATTGTCTCCGGGATTGCCGTCCTGACCTGGGGCAGTCAGATGTCGTACCCTTTAGATGCACACGTGGCCTCAGTTTTCGAATTGTTCGTATACCGCATCTCATGGCATGTACAACAGCCATGGACTGGCTAGCCTGTAGCATACAAATTGCACGTTCACGTTTAACATTTGTAAGGCGTGGCACGAGAATTGTTCATTTCTCAAAGATTGTCTTTTTTCTCATTACCTTCAAATTCAACACGGTGGTTTGGTACATGAATTTGTGATCACGTGATCTTGCACACTTGTAGGGTCGCGTTTTGCCAAAAGGGCGCGTTGCATACACTCCATGTTCAGTTGAAATGGACGGATGCGTCAGGTTAGGTCTCGCCATTAACCCTGAAATAAACCCGGTTATAATCGTACAGTACAACCAGAAATTATTGAGAATTTAGAGATTGTAAATGTTTATATTTTTTTCACTCATTACTCACGTATTAAACGTGAATATTATCAGAACATAACTCCAGATTCAAAGACAGGTGAACAGTTAGTATTTTGTCAAGTCACCATGGGCAGCAACGCAGGCTTCAATGCGGCGGGGCATACTACTGATCAAGTTAGAAAGTCGTGGTCCATGCTGTCCCAATATCGGACCACCTCTTCTTTCATTTCAGCAATATTTGTCAGAATTTTCTTATTGACACTTTTCTTCATAAGTCTCAAACATTTTCTATTGGATTTAGGTCAGGGCTATAGTTTGGCCAATCTTATAATGAAACCAGGCCTGTGGATGCTTTGAACGATGTTTTGGGTCGTTGTCCTGCTGGAAAATCCAAAACTTTCCATAGAACACGTGAGCAGATGAAAGTAAATGTCCCTCAAGAATATCTGTGTACCGCTTACTGTTCATATTCCTTTCAAATACACAGAGGGGCGTTGCCCCTAACACAGATATGCCACCCCACACGTTGAATTTCGGACTGTACTTTGGCCACTGATACAAAGGTTTTTCAGTTTGTTTGGTGCAGAATTTCAGTGTATTAGGAAACAGCCACACAGAACTTTCATCTGAGAAAATCACATTGTCCCAGTTAAAATTTCTATGCTGTAAGCACCAGTTCAACCTTAGTTCCTTTTGTTCATGTTTTATGATCGGTGATGGAATTCCTCGACTTTTCTGCCAACCCATTGCATGCAGCTCAGTTCTAATTGTCTCCTTACAGACAGCCACAGTTCCTCTATCAATCATATCCAGTCTAAAGTTTTCTAAACTCCTTCGTTTGTTTTTAGAAACGAGACTACTAAGCCGCCTTCTGTCACCGACAGTCAATTTTCTGGGCTTACCTGCGCCTCCCTGGTGCTCAATGCCATATCCATTTGCAATATTTTTCAAAACACGATAAACAGTGGACAAAGGGATGCCTGTTCTACTTGCAATCACTTTAGCTGATCTGATTTCCTTGTCATAATACTCTAAAATCAACTTCCTCTTCTCTAAATCATCCATACTGAGGATCACTGAAAATGCCGTCTGCGAGCAAGTAAACAAAGGTGGATAACTCTTCACAAACTAATGAAAAACGATTAACGGAGTTGTCTCTCTTGAATAAAACCAATCACTTGATAGCTGGTCAAGGTTGTTTATACTAGAAATCCAATTAAACATATTCCTAAAATTCTCAATAATGTCTGGTTATGCCAGTAAAAGCCGAGTAAAATGAAACTCGTTTGGTCACCTAAGTGTGCCACTTACCGGATAGTGTGTTTTTGAAAAAGTGTATTTACTATTAAAACAAATATGTTTCGTTATTTTGCAGACTTCAATAACCCCAAAGGTTGGAATTTAGAAACAATGTGAGTATTTTTACACATCTTTTCCTGACTATATGACCAAATGATCCTAAGCACTGAGTAAATGATAAACATCAGGTAATATGGGCGGTCACTATTTTCGTAGCATTATAAGAAACTAAAGTCCTTCTAAAGGTCACTATATCGATATATACTAGGCAGCAAAAGAAACGTCAGTTTGGAATTTTCCTTCGCAGAAACGGATAAATGTAAACTCATTTAATGTTTTGATTGTATATTTTGGACATCTCCAACTTTTCCTTCCCAAACTCAAAATGGAACCCAGGAAATGGTCCCAAAAACGCAACCAGATCTCGGAGATCGGTGTTCGACATGTTTCTCATGTAACTCATGCTGCACGTGCTGTTCACAAGGACCAGCCCTATAAAATGCACCCCCAAACCTGGTTGAGACATTCACATTACAACGTCAGCAGGATTCCGCGACTCACGACAGCTGAGAGGAACCAGGCGCTAGGAAGATTTGAAGCTGGCCATACTGCACAGGCCGTTGCCAATCGCTTCCAGATCAACGTTCGGACCATCTACAGGCTGCAGCAACATTTCCGGGCCACCAACAGCACACATGATCGCCCCCATACTGGCGGACCACGGGTGACCACACGACGACAACACCGCCGTGTACATAATCCCTTCATGCAGGCATCCGAAACAGCACGCCAGACAGTGGGAACACACGGAAGACCAATCAGTACTTATACAGTCCGCCGACGTCTTAACAGCGGGGACCTCCATTGCCGTAGACCCTACGTGGACCTATCCTCACCCCTCGTCATCGTCTTGAACGTCTACAGTTTGCCCTATAACACCAAAACTGGCGATACAGGCACTGGAGAACTGTTCTCTTCACAGATGAGAGTCGGTACTGCGTATCAACTGCAGATGGCAGAACAAGAATATGGCGACGACGTAGACAGCGTTACTCAGACCAATGTGTTATGGAAAGAGACTCATGGGGAGATGGAAGCATCATGGTATGGGGTGGAATAGGCATGAACCCGAGAGTGGGTCCCGTGGTGTTCCAGAACCTTGTTCCAGGGAGAGGAGGCGGCATCACAGCGGTGCGCTTCATCGACCAAGCTCTCGGACCCCACATCATACCACATTTCACACGTCACCGGAACAACATTTTCCAGCATAACGCTCGCGCCCATACTGCCAGAGCTGCACGGTATTTCCTACAGCGGAACGGTGTCAACATTTTGCAGTGGCCAGCCCTTAGTCCTGATTTACACCCAATTGAACATCTTTGGGATGAAATTCAGAGGAGTCTGAATAATGTCATACCAAGGCCGAACACAGCCGATTTATTTCGCCAGGCCTTTCTCAGAGTGTGGTTCCAGGTGCCAATGGCCTTCATCAATCGATTGGTGCACTCCAGGTGTAGACGCTGTGCTGCAGTTATTGCCGCTCGTGGTGGTCACACTAGATACTGAAGTCAAGAGTCTGAATGGACTACAACATTCACGTAATGTCTTGAAATTCTGCTGAGTTATTCATTGATGTCTCAAGATATTGTACACAATTGATTTCTTTTGATCCGTTTATTATGTCAATTTCTGTTATGATTTGATTATAGTGCCTATCTAATTTTGAATTCGCACTGACGTGTCTTTTTGCTGCTGAGTATAGTTTGCGTTTACATCAGTTTGATATTGACAAATGCTTTTTGTATTTAAATGAACTGTTTCAACTTACCTGACTTAAAGTCGAGTGTGTCATTGTCTGTATGTCTTCGACGTGTTGCAAGAAGCTGCTGGAACAACGAGCTGAATCGGACGTTTGCTTCCATTAATGAATGAGCTTTCAGAATGGCCGACAAGGTAGTCACATCTATAGCATACAGTGCAAGAAATGTGAACTATTGAAATAGATCTTCTTCTTGAAATGCTCATAAATATTGCTGCACAGGCATATAAAACGAATGACTCGATCATCCCAGTGTCACGACACAAACACACGACCTGGCCAAGGTCAAAACTCCCATGGGACACCGTCTCCACACCATAACGAAGCGCCCTCTACTTCAAGTCGCTATCACAGCGCCATCATGCGCCCATCACAGGCAAGATCTGCTCACGTAACGAAGCTCCCTCAACCTAGTCGTTGTCGCTCTCTAAACAAGCTGTGCACCCAGACAGCCGCCTATGTACGACACACGCACGTGCTGCGTGCCTTTCCCGCGCGTAAAGCCCATGTTTGTACCCACTTGTTCGCTAGCTCTCGCCTGGACTACGGGTTTTTATTACACTTGGTTGTGACAATGTTAATATGTGCAGGTCCTGCTCCTTGCCACTGGATGACATTTGCTGGAGACTTTAGATGTCTTTATAAGGTTGTATTACTCTCCTTGCAGATTCCTGTTTGGGACCAATATTAAAGGATCTATTGACCTGGTCCATGTTCATCCTGAAGACGAGGACGAGCTGGTGGTCATCAAGAAAGCTGTCACCGGTCTTTTCTCTGTTACTGTCAGGGTATACATTGCGATACTATATGTAAAACTTCAATCTTAGAGAAAAGGCATCCTCGATGTTCTGCCCCAACTGATACCATTGGATGTAAAGGCCAAATGGATATGGAAATTACATAAATGCTATGCCAAGACATATATTATTGAACACACGAGTCTGAGCTTAGCTTATAAAAAATCAAATTAAAATTCACTCTGCTGAGCATACTTTGTGCTCTATGTCTCTTCTCAATAGTACATTATGTGTTTGTTCTGATAGACGTTTGCGATTATTAATGTTACGTTAATCCCAACGTGTAGCGGCATAGTTCTACATACATTGTATACGTTTTGGGTCATTGCTGTCAAGGAATCTGGAGAAAGCACGGACTCTTACGAGACAACAGATTTAGATCACCTAGGTGAGTTATCCCTTGTAGAAATCTCCCACGTGTGCTACATCACCTTCTGAGGACGGCCATAATAGAGCCAAACGGTATGATCTGAAGACGTCCATACGTTTAACAGAGAAACAAGGCCCTTGAAGTTTAGTAGTTTAGCCGAGTTCATTTCTCCACAAGGCTGCTATATGTGAAACCTAGTCCTTTTGACCCCTGCTATGATATTGCGAGAATACTGCTTGAATTTAAACTAAATTTTAGTTCAATCATTACACATGCTTTGGTTTACTTATCCAGGCAATCTGACGCACAAGTATACCGTGGATACATCGCCATCCGGGAGAACCCTGACTCGCACCCACTTCAGCCATGAGAGAGCAGAGAGAACCCACCACAAGGTAAAGCCATTTAAAATTTGTAGTTCTAATTTCTCAATATAATGGATGATTCATAATAACAAGTTTTGCAGATTAGACCATGAATTGCCCTAACTTTGTGAGGCAAGATGTTATTCACAGTTCTAATGTGTTAAAACATGCACTCTTTAAGCTGTTGCAATGCACCCAACCTTTACCCTTTCATCTCTGTGTATAACGGTTCCTTAGCTCTTCAGCAAGCTGGGCCCGGTTGTTCAAAACTCTGTTATCTTTTAACCAGCCGTTAAGTACATTTAACCGACTGTTAACTGATAACATAGGGTTATCTTGTTGTTCAAAACTGTTAACTTTTAACAGGCTGTTAACGCATAAACATTGCTGTCGCAACTGATGTGTAGGATAAAATAAACAAAACATTATCTATTTCTGCGAGTGATATGCTGGCCCATTTCGTAGTCACTTTGATTAAATGTTATATTTGAATATCGAAACCTAGATCCAGTTTATGCCTACGTGCAATGTACAAGCTTCAGTTTACTTTGAGTAAAATTACTTAACAGGACATTTAGCTTCATTTTTTGTTTGATGATTTAATGAAAATTACTCTGTCAAAACTTGCGAGTCAGGCACCACGTGAATGATGCGGCTGGTTGCTTGACTGAGCTCAGGCAGTGCTGGCCTTCCGCCGGTCTTCACATTCCCCTCTCTTACAAGCTCTGACTGTAACCATTTTCCCGTTTCTTCGTAATTTCAGTCGAATGTTTCTCCGATAACAAAAACCAGCTGGCCTCAACTATTGACTGGATCACATTCTCCTCGTCACTAGAAAAATTTTACTTTTACTTTTCCCAGGGGTGCAGTCGAGATTTTGCGATTCCATTTTTGGCAAACCGGAAGTAAACAGAAAACGGAATTGTGGCATATATGTAAGCTAATGAATGACGTCATCCGCAATGTTAATCTTTGACGGTGACGTCAGCTAACGGCATCACTAACCATGTTTTGAGCAACGCATATTTAGCGTTCGGTTAGCAAACGGCAGGTTAAGTATTTAACCGGCCGTTAGGAGTTAACCGCCGGTTAAGATAACCGAGTATTGCACAACCGGGCCCTGATCGCTAAGTCCCACCATGAACTCCTTAACGCATCTGGAATTAAAAGAAATAGAAGTACCACTCACCAATTTTTTAACTTGGAAAGGTTTGTCAACAAGAAAACAGCGTTATCACATTAGAATATTGTAGCAGTTTCACAAGCATAGACCATGGGCCATAACTCTGTCAAAAGAATCTAAGAAAGCAATGCTGAACGTATGTTACATCATGGCTAAAAGTACTGTCGGAAATAGAAAACAAATAGGAAACGTAGAAAAAGGACTTTACTGGGGAAAGATTAGTGCAGAGCAATGTGTTTTTTCTTAGTCCAAAGCGACTTGTTTGGAACATACCATGGCTTTATGCAAATTTGTGTGCGATGATATTGCATTACAAAAGACACGTTTTAAATGCCAATTTTGAAATTAAAAGTAGCTGACGTATAAAATAATAACTTTAATACTGAAATTATTAAGGATGTAGCTACCATGGCGTCACACTATAACAATAAAAAGAAACATGTATCAGCGGTCATCTCAAAAGCAAAACCAGGACGGGTATTGCAGACGGTGGTGGGGGTCGGGCTGGGGGATAGAGATATCAGCTGAGATAAGATAATCCTTCAGGGGAATTTAACTGGGGAAGCAAACTGCATGTCATAACAATTTACAAAGATTATCCAGTCCTGTCGATCTTCGGGTGGTCATGCCGCCTATATATTATGAGACATGTAATACGATGACTGATTTAAGCTTTTCTAGGGGTATCATACTTTTTCACATGTCTCAACATATGGTTTATGAAAGAAAGACACGTAAGATGTTAATCAATAGATGAGACTTTTTCAATACGCAAAAAGCTTAAAATATCTCTGAGATGACCCCTTGTGCACATGGATGGATGCACATACATTTCATGCCAAGTGAGTCGGAGGTCCGTCGTTACACCTGACTGAGGGACCTAATAGCCATCCATATTCTGATCTAGCAGCTATGGAGCATTTTTCTAGGTTTTGCCCGATTTTACGAGTAAACATGCTTTTCTGGATATACTATTACGCATCCAACAGAAAGCCCAGTTAGGCCGTTTGTGGGTTATTTGGACACATGCTGTTTGCAACTGTGTAAATTTAAGGGATACAGAGTAACAGCCTAAACCGTTTTTCGTCTATTTCCGACAGTGCTTTAGTAACATCAGCGTCTAAAATATAACGTAAATAGTTTTTGAGAAAACGTACGTGATCCCTATTCACGCAGTTCGAACTAAGCTGAAAGGCATAGAATAAGGGACCATCCTTGCAAACTCGAACGATTTAGATTTTGAGTAGTTACATTAGTGTTTTAAATGTTAGTTAAATATTGTTTTTAGAAATATGTTCCCTTTGAGAAGCGGGTGGACGGAAAGACGGAAGGATCAACAGAATTTGTTCCAATATCTGATTTCCAAGCATGTGTAGGATCCAACATGGCTGAGTTTAGTATCACTTAACCATATCCATGATAATTGAATTATTGATAGTTACTATTGCTGATGCGATGTAAAATCATTATTTGCATATCAACTTTTTAACCTGTGACATCAAGTTCTGTGCGTCAAAGTCAAACAGTGTCTCCTCTTTACCTATATTGGGGACGTTCAAATGTTTATACAGGATTGTATTCCTTAGATTAATTCTGATAAATATTTCTCAACGGGGTTTGGTAAAAAATGTGTACTTGTTACATATTAATACAATACAGTCTTTAAAAAGGAAACACATAAGGAATTTTCAGAAGAATTTATTGCGTTCGTTTAAGAGTGATTATTTCATGTAATTTAAATTGTATGTGAAGTAGCGTTGTCATGCTGGAACAACTCCCTCTGTCGGTCCATAATTGGAAGCATGTGATGTGCAAGGACTTCGTTGATGTCAATTTCCCCTGAACTACCACTAAATCAGATCTTTGTGTGCTGGATAGCTTAACCCCCAACATGACACTTCCTCCACCGAATCTGTCGACCTGTCGAATAGAGTTAGGGGAAAAACGTTCATTTCTTCGACCGCCATACAGCTGGAATATTGCTGAGTCTGGCGTAAAACTAAACTCACTCAATCTTTTTCCGACGGTAAACATGCTATCTTCTATCTCGCCGGTGAAGAGGGGCGGTGGGGTAGCCTAGTGGTTAAAGCGTTGGCTCGTCACGCCGAAGACCCGGGTTCGAATCCCCACACGGGTACAATATGTGCAGCCCTTTTCTGGTGTCCCCCGCCGTGATATTGCTGGAATATTGCTAAAAGTGGCGTAAAACCAAACTCGCCAGTGAAGAAGAAATCGGGAATCATTACTGAACCCGACTTGCCTCCAGTTTGTAAGGTTCCAGCTCCGGACTGTACGACACCACCGTACGCGATTGCGCCGATGGAAGTCTCTCAAAACAGGGCCGACAACTGGCATTCTTGGGCGAATACCCACTTCACGCAATAGATTCCTGACAGTTTGGTCGGAAATTCTTCTCAAACCAGGGATGCGTTGTGCAGTCTCCACGGCTGTGGCAAGTGGGCAGCCCGGATGTAGTGGTCCTCGGTCTGGGTGCGAACTCTTGGACGGCCGCTTCTTGGGCGATGTTGAGCGGAATTAGCCTGCAGGAAACGACGTTTAAGGCGAGTTTTGGTGCTCTGATGAACGTTGAAATGTCTGGGAACTGCACACTGCGACTCCCCAGCTTCAAGCCGGCCTATGGCGATGTTTCAATTGACGGCACTCAGTCGTGGCATGATGATTTCCTCTTTAAGAAATTAAACACAACGTTTGCCTTTTTGTAGTGATCCATACCGCATAATCTTCCGCATACTTGCTTTTCATGCTTTCTTGGTGCCGGTATGGCGAATATTTCCTCTAAAGCTTCCAAAACAAGGGAAAACATTACAATTGCTGCGTCGTGGCGCTGAAATGGTTTACAGTCACACAAAGATGACGTTTTAGGAAGAAATTGTAAATTTGTTTATGCAGCTACACGAATCTAAATCACCTATGCGTTTCCTTTTTTTGAAGAACGTAATACGGTAATACTGATAATGCTAAGTGATAGGTGACGAGATGTTCCTTAAACAATGCCTAATCAAAACCTATTAGGACATGGTCATGAAATTTGACGTTGACATTGTGTGATGAAATAAGTAAAAAAACAACAACACATCAACATGGAAGACATTCTCATTCTATGTGGGTTCTAATTACACGTGCTGTATAACAAATATTATATTTGCACAGACTCTGCACTATCATGTCGACGGGACATTACACAGAGGTCATGCCTATGACAAAATCCTCCTGAAACCAAAAAACAGCAAAAAGAAAAAAGCAAGGTAAGAAAACCATATCAAGAGTAAACATCTACCTCGGCAGTATTACAGCTGTACGGTCTTGTTTGTAACCAAATCGAGTCTGGACCCAATCCAAAACATTTTCTTAAAGCAATATTACTGTTAAAATAGCTGAGATGTTTGAGTGAGTGAGTTAATATTTACCGCCACATCGGGAATGTTTCAGCCATATCGTGACGAGAACAATTACATATTATATTTCAGATCAATACAATCAGAAAGTAAAAGCCCGTTGACGTAGAAAACAAAATATGTTTAGTTTAGTCATTAGTATGATCTTCTGTTTTCTCACCACCAATATTCGTGTTCTGTGTTTGGTGAAAAGAAAAACAAGATATTATTATATTATATCATTAACTTTTAAAAACCTATGTGCTAAAGAACAAACGTTTCATTTTCTCCTGTTTAGAGCTTTACAACCGGGAGAAAAGTTCTATGAGATATCAACCTCAGGAGGTATGTACTAAAGCTGATATAATACATTTCAGTTGTGAGAATAGAAACGTGCAATATTTTCTTCATGAAAAGTGAGTAATCACACATATGTACGAAAATAATTTACATTAACAATTCATCTTTTCAACAGATGTTCCTGATATATGGACTGCTTCGACAACCAACATACAACTGGACGGACAGAGGTTCGTTATGGACATGTAATAAAATATACCTGAAACTAAAGGATGACTTCAAAGTTTATTAATAAGTATCGTCTTATGTACACGACCTTCTATTTAGTGCAGATTGATACATGTTGATGTTTACAGAGTATATGTCTTGTGATATATTTCATTTTAGCCGTGTCAGCAGTCCACTGGAGGATAAAGATCTGCAAGATCTGGCACAGGACACACTTGAATTCAAAATGGTATATGGAACTGGCTTTTATTACCCATGTTGTCATCGTATGGGTAGTTGCATACTGAACTCGTACATCACACGTGTGTCGTATCGCGTTAATCTGAGATTCTAACGATTTCATTGAATAGCCGATGACCCGCCAGTTAGGACACTTTCTGACGGAACTACTTTCTCGTTCATAACAAACAAGTGAATTCATTCATTCTACAACTTTTACTACGTCAATTAAGTTAGACGGTTTAACGTTATAGAAGTTCAGGGCAAAACTATGGTGGTAAATGTATAGTATAACTGTATTTCTTTTCTAAGATGCCAAATTCAGTACTTTCTAAGGTTAATTACGACCTGAATCAGAACAAATACCCCAGAAAAACGACGGTGTCGGTGACCTAAATTAAAAGTCCTCGCTCAGGGCTAACGGACGCACAGTTCTGTTGACGTGCCTGCTCCCCTGCGTTAAAACGCACGTTGTTAGAAAGAAAACCAAACGATAAAAAGTTTGATGTCGATTTATGTTCGGGTTAAAAACTTCTCTGAATTATTCTAATTATATCTGTGATTAACGTAAACCAAATGGGTCAATATGAACGTCGTATTTCTACTACCAACGTAAGTTTAGATCAGAGGAAGCTGATTAGTCACGCGACATTCCATGGATGCATGGTGGGAATATAAACATGGCGAACGTTGTCGTGTCGCTGTTTAATGTGAGTCAAACTGAGACATTGTATCCGTCGGAAAACATGAACGTAATGTTTCAACCAGTGATGTTACCCAAACAACTGCAAAACAAGAAACGGGCTGTTACGGAGTAGTTTACTGCTGGAGGCTGTACGAGGCTATGACACCTGGCATACATCGTGACGTCGGTTACCATGGGTACGTTTGATTACGAGGGCGCAGACGAGAATTGCTTAGTGACGATAAATATAATGTAACCTCATGTAAAAAGGTGTAATTATCGCCTGAAAAAGTGCTGTCGACGCTTTTGATCTTTTAGCAAAGCATCTTAGAATTGCTATAATTTAATTTTAAAGCGTTTCAATATGTTTTGTCTTAATCTAAACAGATAAGACCTACAATCAATTGAGCATATTCAGGAATGGAAAAAGAAGTGCAAATGTAGTCCTAAAACGTTCTGGTTTCGATTTGAAACCATAAAAATAACACAAATACGCTATTGTGTCGATTTTATGCAGGTAAGATGTGGGTAATAAATAAATACCACACTCGGTCTCATTGTCAAAAGCTCGATCAGATACCATAGGAAGGACACTCGTATAATTCGTATGTAATGAGACCAAGTGTAGTATTTTGTTGGATGATACATGCACTTGAAAGTACCCTGTGGGTATTCTGGGATTGACTACGTCCCCGGTAACCTAAATTAGTCTGTAGTGATACTTGTGTAACATTGTGCTAAGGGAGGTTAGAAACCTTTTAGACCCAAATGATATTCCTCTTGATATTGTCACCGGTATCAGTTTACTTAGATTAAATTGTGTTGATTTGTGTTTGTGATTGTACTCTGAAGCGGTGGACATTCCTCAATGTCGTTACACAATATTTACTTACTCTACTGATAGCAATGTGATGGCTTCTGTCATTGCAGAAAAAGGTGCACAAACGGATCCACGACGTGCAACAGAACATATCTCACTACCTGCAGTGTGTGCATATGTATCCCGAGAAAGGTAAAACGCGTCAGTACAGTGGATCCTACTCACACCAGAATGTGACAGTGGTAAATTCTATTGAAAGAAACAGGAACATATTTCCCTTAATTCAGTAACTGAATTCAATTATTCAACAGCATACAATATTGTTAAATGAAAAAAATGAGTACCAATTTTTTAAAAAGAGGTGCTTTCAAATCACTAAAACCAATATTTTGATTAAATGTTCATTCATAATGAGTTAATATTTATCGTCACATCAGCAATATGTCAGCCATGTCGTGACGAGAACAATTAATTATCATATTAAGGATCAATAAAATTAGAAATTAAAAAAAAGCCAACCAACTGTTGACAATGGACAATAAAACTACTAGTGTATCACAGATAAAGATATTAAATTAGCATCTAACTAAAATTAAACTATACTATACTAGGCACATAAAGTTAAAATATTATCCCTGCTGATAAGTACGATAACAATGTCAAAGGTACATATAAACTTTAATGGAGGGATCATGAGACCATAACAAGTTGGGAGAATTTCAATTGAAAAGTCAATCACAATGACGTCACAAGTCCACAAGCGGGACATTGGTCAAACGACCATGTCACAAGCTCAATAACGGGTATGTCCACCATCGGCATTGAGAACAGCAGTGCATCGACGACGCACAGAGCCTATTAAACGTGCCAGGAAGGCTTGTGGGATGTCACGCCAGATTCTCTCAAGTTCTGTAGCAAGGTCAAGGACGTTATCTGGCAGATGAGGAAGACGACGTAGACGTCGAACCATTTCGTCCCAAACATGCTCTATCGGGGAGAGATCCGGTGAATTTGCAGGCCAAGGCAGTAAGTCAATGTTGTGGTGTTGCAAGACATCCATAGCAACCCTTGCCGTATGAGGGCGGGCATTGTCCTGTTGGAATGTTAACCCAGGGCCATGACGTTGCAGAAAAGGAATTGCCACAGGTCGAAGAATCTGATCCCTGTAGCCCACACCAGTTAAGTTGCCCTGAACAATCACCAAAGGAGTTCTTTGGCGTGCTGTTATTCCACCCCAAATCATCACGGAATACCACCAAAGCGATTCCAAGACACAGGCCTGTGCATAACGTTCTCCCACGAGTCTATATGCACGTTGACGTCCATCACTATGGGAAATGTTAAACCTGGAGCCATCTGTAAAAACAACATTTCTCCACGTCCTGGTCCGATCCCGTGGTGGCTTAAACGTTGTCGAACTGTGTTGGGGTGGATACCGCGAAGTCCTGGGATGGTTCGGGCAGTCATCACTGCAGTCTGAAACCTGTGGCGAAGATGGGTCCCCCTTATCCATCTGTCCTGTCTTGGTGTTGTTACACGTGGACGTCCAGAACGTGGCCGATCGATGACGTCAGTTGCGTTCTGGAAGCGTTTGTGTTCCGGTGGCAGTGGAAATGTGCAGCCACTTGTTGAGACATTCCCCCACGGACCGTCCCAATGGCCTCATGACGTTGTGCAGACGTGAGCCTGCTATGCGTTTCAATAGCCGTTTAATTTTTTGAACGATCGCAAGAGCAGGGGTTGAGCTTTCCGAAGTGACAGTATTGTGTGGCATTCATTTGCTCATTTTCTTTTTCCCGGAATGCACGTGCAACAACGTATTGCACGTCTCAAGGACGAACCCAATCACGTCACGGAACGTGGCACGTGCATGCATGTTGGATACATGTTACTAATCTCTGAGTTTAAATCCTTATGTGTCTATACAGGTTTGATAAATTTAGATTTTAAATTTTTGTATGCACAGCTTCTTTATGTGCCTAGTATATAATACAAGACATTACAATAAAAACGGGCTAGAGACCACCAGCAACTGAAAGTAGATCACCATACGAGAGATCAAGGGGACTTATAGATACTTCTGCTACCTGCATGGACCTTAGCTGGATTCACGCCTTCCCTTCAGCCTTTGTTGATAGTAGTTAAATTTAGCCATAACTTAAAATCACAAAATATACCATGTTTTAAAATATTTCGTAAGCTTAATTTACGGTGAATGTCCTGGGACTTTCGTATCCCCACGGGAGGACAATCATTTTCAGCCCCCCTTATGTAACAATTCTTTTTCTTTTAAAAATGCAAAACATAAATGATAATTAACCTTAAAAAGAATCCTGAACTGTTTTGACATTGAAATATTGATCTCTTGTGATGGAAAAATCAATGCAGTCAAGGAGGACATACATGCTTGACTGTTCATTCAGAAGATACGTGATTTACTTAAATTGAGATAGATTAACTAACATTAAACGAATTGTTAAAAAAGAAATGTTATTGGTTTTAGATGCATAATTGTGGGATTTAACCTCGATCCAAATGTCATTATAAATATTACACTGTATGTCAGTGTTTGCATTACAAAGATCAAATGCCTTCCATTACGTCTTATGTTACTTCTAATCCACTTATCATTCGGCGTACTAGTATCTTGTCTTGTATTTACATGTGCAATATCTTCGCCCCAATGTCTCATGATCAAATATCACTATCACCTGAAAGTGAGGCGCCCACACCATTACCTATATGTTTTAATGATATGTGGTATAGGTGACGCTAACCGAACCCAGTGTGTACAGGAACTCCGGAAGGTTCTTCAGGCACTACACCCAAAGGACTACAAGGAGTTTGTCAACTCGGTTCTTAACGTGTCTTGTGGAGCAGCGGAGTCCAACTGTTCGGTGGAAAGATTCGTCTTCATAGATATTGTCGCCAGAATCGCTGATGAAATATCTCAAGAACTTATCGTCAAACATGTTCTTAACAGGACAGACCCCGATGAAGAGGAACTACGACATGTGTTCATACACTGCATTGCCATAGAGAAGCCGATCATGGTCGGTACATGTATATATATATGTAGTAATAGTAACGTGACCTCTTAAAGTAATGTTAAGTCAGTAATGATAGTCTTATCCTTTAAACACAAAATCATGATTCTTGATCATGTAAGTAATACTTGAATTGATCATTGCTTATATAATCTTTGTATTGTTTATAGATGGATGTTATGACTATTTCTGGCCAATATATTTATCAAAATAATATATTTTCACATTTTCAGCAAGTCGTCCAAGCTGTAGAGGGTTACTGCTTTGGATCCGGAGATCAGCATCATGGTGAGTCATTAGAATATTGAAAGTAAGCAGCCGTATATGATTCACTATAAGACGAAGGGCTAGTCTTTCACACGCTATACAGTATCACTTTTCCTGTGTATAGTGCAGGGGCTTGTGTAATTCAAATTAATTGTTCGAACCAATACTTATTGTAATGACTATTGTGTATGGAGTAAGAATAAAGATGGTTCCATTTTTCTGTTTGCTATAAGTGTCATTGTGGGGTGATTGAATATGAATTCCCAAAATTGCTTGCGACACCATTTTGAGACAAAAATATTTCCATTAACTTATCACAACATCGTCATATAGCATACCAAAAGGTAGCTTATGATGCATAATATAGAAATAGCCATAGAATGTGCTTCTAATTTCAGTTTGGTGGCATACAATATGACATGATCATATAAATAAATCAAATATTGACTTTCCTTCACGGGACACCGACATTATAAGTGTCGCGGGTTCTGGTCTTGAGATGTCCCAAGGACAATAATTGATGAGACGGGGAACGTCGCTTACGATATGAACCAGTTTATTGCCTGTGAAATACGAACATTACAACATGAGAAAGATGTTGTGTGTATCCGATATGGTCGGATGGTGAGATGAAAGTCTTGTTATATGAATACATCGGCAATAAACAATACAATTATAGATATAAGATTGGTATATAATAGTTATGCTATAATTGTATAATTGATAAAATATATATGACGTCACGCATAAGCGTTTTGTCCGGGATATTTACAATTGATGTGACGTCACGCATTAGCGATCAGTCAAAATTATATAAAATTGATGATTTGGTATACTGTAGATATAAAATACTGTAGATATAAAATCATAATGATTGATCATTACGTGCAATGCTAGTGCTTTAAGTTAGTAAGTGATCCACGCGAGAGAAAATTTACATTACGCGGTCGCGATTAATTACTAACTTAAGATATATGTTATTACTATGTTGATGATAATAATATATATATATATATACTAGCAATGATATAGATGTAGAAAGAATATATGTAGAGAGGGTGTTTACCTGTGAAATACGAACATTACAACATGAGAAAGATGTTGGGTGTATCCGACATGGTCGGATGGTGACATGAAAGTGTCACACGTCACAGGCATGAAACGCACGAGATTTGGCGGGTAGCCGATTACGGGTGGCACGTACAACTCTCTACATTTAGCCAGTGGAGAAGCAGCCCTCTGGTGAAATAAAAGGGAAGTAGAAGGCTGTCGGTGACATAAGTATTGGTCCATATTCATGGAAACCATTTATTCAATTAATGTATTCTACCATTTCATAATATATACTACCATGACACACTTATGTAGTAATGATAGTACCCAGGTAAGGTTAATGTGACTATCACATAGTCATGTACAACTGTCCAATCAGGCCTACCAATACAGTCAGAATTGACACACTGACACTCGGGTCTGGATACTTAAATGATAAATGACATAACGCCAAATCTACAGTCAATATAAAGTGAAATTATTAACACAGGACTGACAAATTATATCGTAGTGAACAGATAACTACATATTACAAGTGGGGTTTACAAGTGCAATCTATAATGTGTACTAGTATATTTATTTTAACTTTCAGAAGGATTTAGCATTGTTAAGTAACTTGCATTGTCAATCAATCCGTTATTAACCTGCAAAGAGAAAATATGCTGTTGAAATAAAAGCTTCGAAATTATTTGTCATACAAACATAGGCATCAAGAGAGACCCTCATTACAGATCATGCCTACGCCTTGCACGGCAATCTCCATTCACTATTACATTTTTAAAGTACTACTGTGTACTTGTACTTTAATGTACTTTCACCAAACCGTACCGATAGCCCTTGTAACCACCAAGATTCATTCAAATCCATCAATAACTTAAGATATTATTCACATTCCCCATTTACTTAACACTGCGATTATTTTCAAAGTACCTCTGTGTACATGTACTTTAACATACACTCTTCATAAAATGAAACGCAACATAAAAGTTGAAAATAATGATAGAAAGTTTGTACGCCTATGTCAAATTAGGCATGTTTTGAGGGTTGAATATTGTTGTTGGTATGGTTTAGAAGAACATGCGTGAGCGAATGCAACCATAAACGATCTTGAATGGTTTTATCGATCATGATTGTCATGATGAGCTTGACTGTTATGGAAGACAACCAAGAGCCGCAATTATTGCTTTCCCCGTGCAAAACATGATTACAACCTATAACTATAAAAGACCCAAATGCATATCGCAAAGTCATTCAAGACCCTTGCAAATCCTGGATGAGAAAATGCGACGTCTCAACATTTCGAAATGTCGTGGCGAGGACCTTCAGCGTTTGTGGGATCGTTTTGTGCATTCCATTTCGACAAATGACCATCCAAGTCCAGGAAGACCGCGAGTCACCACACCAGCCCAAGAACGCTACATCCGGGTAACCCACCTTTGTGACTCCATCGTTCCACCCGGGACACAGCACAAGAACCGTCTCCGAGAGGCAGGTATGCGTGCCAGACGTCCAAAAGTTGCCCCCTCTCTGATACGATTACATCAACGTCCGCGTGTCAGGTGGTGCAACGCGGTGCAGCCATGAAACCTTGGAAACTGGAGGCACATATGAATCGCGGTATCCCCTCAAGCGAAAGCGACGGAAGACAAAAGTGCCAACAGACCACTCAATGAACGTTTTGCACCCAACTGCATTAGGCAAGTGGACAAATTTGGTGAAGATGGCGTCATGGTGTGCCATCTCATACACCTGCAGATCGGAATTGGTGCTCGTCCAAGGCAATCTAACGGTCGCTTGATATATCGACAGATTCTCTGTCATCACATGCATTGCCTTGTCGACCGCCAGAGGGAGCTGTACCAACAAGACAACGACAGACCTCACACAGCACGTGCTACAGTGGACTATCTGGTCAATAACAACACCAATGTCCTCCCCTGACCTTCCAGATCCCCAGATCTGAAAACAATTGATTATCTGTGGGATCAAATCGATAAACATGTACGTCAAAGTGTTAATGTGCCATTGACCCTTTAACAGTTGTTCAACATGCTGCAGGAGGAATGTATAAGGATTCCATAACGAAACATCTAACAAATGATTTAACCTGTGTCAAGGAGGTGTCGTGCAGTTCTGGCATTAAGAGGTGGTCATACAAGATAGTAATGTCAACGCCACCTCGTTGACAGCAGTAATGACTATGTTGACTGTCATGCTTGTGAAATGTGCACGATATACCAATGTATTGCTCTACATAACTTCAATGTTGTACCGTTTACTTTCGTTGATGTACATATAAATGAATAAGACCAATTTTTTCAATGATATTTTGCTTTGCGTTTTCTTTTTTTTTTTGAAGAGTGTACTTTCTTCAACATCTAATGTATTTGCCCTGGGGACATACTCAAGAGATCCAGTAAGTTTGATGGAAATCCATTTAGTAGTTTTTGAGTAAAGTTGCTAACATATCAATATACACACGCAGACAGGGCTGAATACAAAACTTCGGTTTTGGCAGAGGCAGTTATGATCATAGTAATTATTATGCATACATGTACGATTGGGATTCATACATGGTAGTTGTAAATCACCCATCGCAAGGTACATTTCGATATGCTACATGCCTGTGTTGTAGATTTATAAAAATATGTCCTTCTCACATTGGTGTTGCAGCTCGATTATGGGTACCAATGTTCAGTTACACGAGAATGGCACTTATAATCATCAGAAAACATGGATCCATGCTTTTTCTGAATCTATATGCAACACTATCAGTGGTTCGAAAAATTAACATTCACTTTCCACGGAAAGCATATTTACTAGTATGTATCGGGCTTTTATATGTCAAATCTTGTATGTTTGACAGGTTCAATAAACCTGACAGTGGTACAAACTCGGGCGTGTTTGGCTGTGGGATCTCTTGCCAGGAACCTCCACCTCTACTCAAATTCTTCAGATGCTGTCAGACTGGTTGAGAAGATTGAGACCTGGATCACTAAACACGAAATGCGTAAAGATCTCATTGTTGTTCTGTGAAATATACACTGTAATGCATGCCCAAACAATCAATATGTTTCAAAATACTGATACTTAAGATATTTTAGATGCATCTGTATTTTTTGTCTTTTGGGGCTAGAACACAGGTCATTTGGATAATTTAGTTGATTGTTGAATCACTTAGTGAACGCGAACATGTCATAAAGTTCAACTGCAAATCAGAGAGATATACGGAACCGCAAAAGAAACGCCACACCGATAGAGGCTTCTTAAAGCACACACTATTATTCTCTCTAATTTACAATCAAAACGGAGCACTGAGTTCAAGCTTGACAAATATTGTTAATACATTTTCCTGAATCACATTTAGAATTCACATGCACAAAATCACCAAAATGGCTCCATGAGGATACCTCAAAGTTAGTATAGTGTGTGGCCTAGTAGTTAGACGATGGGGTAACGGGACCACTTTCCCTCATTTTGTGATTTCTGTCCAATTCGGCTCCCAGTGGAACCGTAATAGTACAACGAACTCACGATTGCTAGGGTCTAACATAAACCGATCGAAGTTGGCTAAGGAGTAGGTTCCGTATGGGGAAAGGCGTTCGCTTGCCTTGAGGCTATACTCAACTAAAGCATCCACGAGTTGTTCTAACCGTTCAGTACCCACATGACCTAGACTATTGTACAGGGTCGTATCTCGATCAATCTCCACATAATATACATATGTTAGGGTTCAAACGTATAGTACTTAGGGTGGGTTATGATGATTAATTCCTCTCGCACGAATAGAGTTCGTCTTCTTTGATATGCCATTATTGGCAATCCATGAATCTTTTCGTATCCATAGGCGACAATGGTGTTTTAGTTAACCTTATCCCGTATATCCTGTGCTTGTCACTCCTCAGTGCATTCATTTCGTGTTTGAACGTTCGTTTCTTGAACAGGACCTGTTTGGATTGGTTGTGTTTGATTTTGATTTTTCACAACATATATTTTCACACCTTTAGCCTTTCTTATCTCACCACATTCTCTTCCCAGAGAGGTTACTTGTCATTTCTTCCTACGAACCTCTGTTCTGATACGGTCACATTTCCCGGTTCTCGTAAAATCCCCTAGCGGCAGAAAATCGCAACCCGAATTATCTCCCTTCTTTCTGTTCAATCAGAACACGTGTTACATCAATTTGACTAATACAAGCAAATGTTGGGTCACAAATATCCCTCCTCTGCCAGGAACTTGTGTTGATGTGACACACAATCGTTCGTATTATACAGGTGTTTGGTTTTCGCCATGTCCTCGTACATGTCCTCAGTTTGAATACCCAATGACAACGAATTGATGTCGGTATATAATACCTCGCATCCATCGCCAGTTTGCTTCTTGAGTTTGGGTCGTACTTCAAGTGCTTGGATAAGTTGAGAATACTCATGTCCACGGAGACTGGCCGGTTGAATTTGATGCAACTCTTGTTCATGTGCAATGCCACCAAATCATTATCGAATATCTTTCTTATGTTAAAGGCTCTCTATGTACTTTCCTAAGTTTAAATATTCCATCGTTTTGCCGAAGGCGCTGTTATTCATGAGTGTAAAGATTTTTTTTAAAAATCACTGATTTTTCTCAGATCAGTGTTCAATCTAATGTAAGGACCCATCGAAGGACTTTGATCGAACTTAAGAACTCTAAGAAATGACACAATTTCATTTAGAAAGTGGTCAAATGTATATTTATGTAATATTTGGGATTACACTTTCTTTGTGTGCTGGCAATTAGGTACCTGACTCTGAGGGTGTGGGTTCGAATCCCGGATGGGACTCAACCCAACAAAAAGTACTAGAATCTGTACTTTACAAAGAAGGTGTAATCCCAACATATAACATATTTTAAGAACTCTACGTAGTTTTTAAGTTTCATACCAAAAGTCAAGTAAGTGGCAGATTTCTATAGTGAACGATGTATTTCATTTTGTCCATCAAGTTTGGTACGAGTTTTTCCACGTTGGTCAGTTTCTTATTTCCCAACACGTTTCGTTGATATTCAGACATCCAATCTTTGTTCACCCTCAATCTTTCGGGAGTGAGAGGTAACTGTTAAGGGATAGCTGTAATTCTACTGGATATTCAACGTCCACTTTGAGTATGTAACCTTTGTTCAAATCTGTTGGAATGCTATTCACATGAACATCGGAGGTACTCCATTCAAACCCGTCAGTGCACAAAGCGGGTTGCATGGCCCAGACGTACAAATGGTATATGGTTGGCTGGTTTACTCGAGTCATAGCCTTTGATGTATTTATTGTTAACTTTAGCATATCGCTTATTGGTCATTGACATACCAACGCGTAATCCTCACTCAATAAACAGGTGCATATTGTAATTCATCAAAAGTTACAATTCCGCGTCTGTCTTTTTTAACAAGTCGTCCAAAGATAGAACCGCGCTGGAGAAATACCACGCTGAGTCTAGACCATACTGTTTCAAACAAGTCTTTCTGAAGATTTCGAACACATCAACGAGCAGTAGTATGGTCGTTTTCAAGTAGAGATCGTGATAATCACCGAAATCCTTGCTGCCCAGTTTATCCGGCATGGGTGTAACCGTCTTCGGTTATTTCCGATTCGGTTAAGCGACTATAAAAGGCGTCAATGGGAGTTAATTGCGTTTCTGTGAATCTAGACCAATCGCCCATCTATCCGTAGGGATAGACACCCTTGCTTAGCAACAAAGGTCGAGTTGACATGTCAGTGTATTCATTTATGGTGAAGGCATCCGGGCTGTTCGCGTTCACTAAACTGATGAGCGATGATAGCAGAAACTGGGCACTGTCTATGAATTTCAGACCATCAAACGATAATGAGATGTATTTTTCCACATGATTGGGGATGCATGTTAAGTGACTATCGAATTTCGAGATGACCAGCATGATGAGGTGTGCATCATAGCCGCAAAGATATTGAAACACCACAGGGATGGGGATGTTTTAGGGATCTGTTCTTAGCTGCAAGTTACACGCTTTGTGGGCAGTGCCTCTGTAATGACCTGTGACCGTTCACGGGTTGGTTACACACGTGACACCTCTTAGCTTTACGATGAGCTCACAAGTCATCATTCGTCATGCGCGTGGGCATAATGTTTGATAAAGTTTCCCTGATTGTTTTCTCTTTGTAGCTGTGTTGTGAGAACTTGTGGCCTCTATAGATCACGGGGGAATTCGTTTTCCCATCGTATCAGATGACCACTTAACCAAACCCGCAACCTTGGTGTTCTTGCAGTTTGGACGCGAAACTTCATTCATACTTGGCAGGCGTGACGTGTGTGATTTGTTTGATGAGGGCCTCAAAATCAGAGTAAATGACATAGGGCACAGTTATTTGTTTGTTACGGTTGATCAATTTTAAAATCTTCTTTAAGCATGTCGATCCTGATAGCGGTCTGTCCCCCACCTCGGCACTCCTCTTTGTGCGCTCCTAAAAGATCTGCTCAACTGTGACCATACAGATAGACTAACGTTTAGTCTCTGAATACATATAATTGTGATAGTAGCAAATAAACCCATTTAAATTGAAAAGGAGCCCAAGTGAGACCAGAGATTCAGAAGACCAGACTTGCTTCATTTAGGGCTTTAGCCTTGCAGGGAGGGCTAAGCATTAGGGAAAATAATATGGTTCAGGGACTGTGAGACAGACTACCATACATCGTTCGCAGAAGTGTTTCTTTGCTCTAATCGTTGATTGGTCGTATAACAGTCTGCCTATACCTTTAATCCAGGTGTAGTGAAATTTATCATCCTTTTCGACCAGAATAAATTAACCCTGCACACGTCTTTTTCCGTAACGGAGCTTACTCTGCGCACGATAACTTTGAAGATAAATCCGAAGAGGCTGATGCCTAAATATTTTGGTTTTCAACTTTAGGGATTTGGGAGATGGGTGTGTGCTCATCTATACTTGGAAAGTTGAGGCCATCGGCCTCATCCGTGGGATAGCTCGAAAGCCTATCCGAATGAGAATTTATTTGAAATAAAGCAAATTGAATTGATACCCTCATACAATCATCGCTTTTATTTTTTTGGTCAACGATGGCCTATAGTTCACTATAACTGAATAGATAGTACCGAATACTACCCATAACCCACCGAGAACCCCTGTGAGTCTATCTTGCCAATGTTTCCTGAAAGGAGAGCATGGTGGGCGAGCTGTCTAAAGCGTCAGGCTAGCAATCCAGCTAACACAGTGGTGCTCGGATCGAGTCCCTGTGTGTGGGAAGGTGTGCAGTACGACGGTGTTAGCAATCGATGATCGTAATGTAGAAAAAAGATAATTGCTACCCAAAAATGCGAGGGCATTTACTAAAGTTTCACCAACCATCATGGCAAAGGAAGCACTGTAGACATACATTATGGTGTACCTAATCCTAGTTGTCAGCAGTTTGGGTAAGAACCGATAAAAGTTACTACAACCGAGTAAATAGAAGTATACATGCTTAGTGACAAGCAGCAGATTAACAACAACAACAACAACAACAACAGGTAATTTGATTTTTATTCATGAAGATGAATTGGGATTGGTGAACAAGCATTACTGCTTATATTAACACCGCTCCCATGCAACATATAATACAACATGAAAATGGAGGGTTTGACGTCATCGATACTGACCATTGCATAAATATAATATTTTTAAAATTACATGAAATACAACTATTCTCTAAGTAGTCATAAGTTAGAGAGTTACAGTTGTGTGTGTCTCACAAGCCATTGTAGAAATATAAATCAATCCTGAGAAGGTTGTTGAGAAAATTTAAAGCGTTGTGTCTTGGTTATATAATCGTGGACGGATTCAACTATTTTCTGGTTTACACAGGGAGTAAGTTCTTTGTTTCCCTTAAGAATGGTATCCAGGTTATAACCGGTAGTGTAAAAATACATATTAAGTCATATCCGAGTATAGTTACTGAGTATAGTTACTGCAAGGAAATAGTGTAGGGCGTTTTCACTCTGATGTCCACAAGA